ATTATCATGTAAGTTCAATTAATATTATAATATTATTATTTTTTATTCGTTCCTATGGTAATAAACAAAGCGTAAGAAATTAAAATCCAATTTTTAGAGGTTTTTCGTAATTTTTCGGTGGTTTTTACCGTGGCATTAAATAACTATTGATAAAATCGATATGCGAACACCATAACAAACGAACACATATCTACTGATTTTCATTTCTTCGTACAATCTAGAATCTAGATGTCAATTATAGTATTAACACAGTTTTGCCACAAAAAGACTTAAAAAATCTTAAGTACCAAATACGAAAACAGTGCCAACTGTAGCCAAGCTCCCCCTATAACTTTAACAGCCCGCCCAAACATTTATTAAATGTTTTTAAGCTTATTCAATGTTATATAATAGTATGGTCTAAGCTTCAGCCTCCAAAAATCTCAAAACTAGCGCCTATTGTACTTATTCAAACATAATATTTTTTAAGATATTTTGTAATAATATCCAAATATGATTTTTCCCGACAATTGTATGTACATTCAAGTTAAAAAAAAAAGTGGATGTCGCTCTGCTGTACAGTAGGTTATAAATGGGGCGCTGTAATGGATGGTATTAAATTTGAATTCAATGATATAATATCATTGTATAAGAAAAACGATTCTGAGCGAAAACGGTCAGTCAGCCTATGATATAGGTATTACTAAGTATATATTTTGATGATATTATTGTGAATAAAGTAATTTATACCTATATAACCTATAAACATGGAATCTTGTTTTAAATTTTCAATCCTTGGCTATAAAATTTGAACATTTTATAAATCTTTAAATACAAAATAATTATAAAACATTAGGTAGGTATTAAATTTTAAATTTGATACAGTTTGTCAAAATTCGACCTTTAAATGTTTATAAAAAGACCATGCCTATGTATTTTTAACACTTTTCTTAAGTTTGGTTACACGTCTGTCTGTGATCAAATCTTGCGCGCTCGATTTGAGGCACTTTTTGAAGATGAAAAATTCTGAAAATTTGTATAGACCTTGGTCTTGGATGACAATACAATAATCCGTAAAAAAATTTAAAAAAAAAAAAAAAAAAAAAAAAAAAAATTTTTTTTAACTAAAAAGTAGAAAATTAAAAATTAAAAAATTATTTTTTAAAAACACACTTCTCTAAAAAAACAAAAAAATAATGAAAAATTTAAAAGTGTGTGGCGCTCTTAAACTTGACATATTATACCACACACTTTTAAATTTTTCATTATTTTTTTGTTTTTTTAGAGAAGTGTGTTTTTAAAAAATAATTTTTTAATTTTTGATATTTTTCAACTGCTATTGTTACAATATAATATTAGGATCGTTGTAATACATTTTCACGCTTTTTTACCCAACAAATAAAATTTTCATGTTATACATAAATAAAATAATTAAAATAAAAAAACACATCGCTCCGCTCAGAATCTAAAAATTTAAAATAGTATAATACCTAATATAATAATTACTATAATAATATAAATGACCACGAACTAAGATTTAGAATATTTCTGTGATATAGTATTATTGTAACCTATATCGGCTATCGATAATATTAAGCAAGGAATTGTATTGCGGACCCCGTGCTGTTTGTACGTAAGCGTATGATTTAACTGTAAAGTATCTAAAGTTATAACAAGTTTTCGTTTTTACTTAAATTAAAGAAAATAGTTTTATTATTATTATTATTATTATTATTATTATTATTATTATTATTATTATTATATAGCTTAAAAACCCAACATTGCTTATAAACGCATAATAATAATAGGTACTGATTGAATATTTATAATATGTAGTATGTACATTAACAAATTGAATTATATAATAAATGGTTTGTTTGTTTTCGTGGCAACGAATTAAAACTATTCACTATAATTATGTATTGAAATTTCTACAATCATTTTATGCGACGTCACCCATGGCAACCATTTATAAACAAAAATGTCCATCTGAAATCTCAAAATTCCCGTTTTAGCACCTCCCGGGGTTGATCCTCTTCCTTTTAAGATTAGCCTATCTTTTAAGTTCGGCCAAATTACACATATTGTTCATCAAGATCGGTCCAGTAGTTTCGGAGTTTATTCCGGACAAAGACGTAACACGAGTTTTTATATATAAGAATAAGATATATAAAGATAAATAATATACTTTATAATTGAGAGTTTTAACATAGAAATTCATTAGGTAGGTATATTTCCTATAAATCATACAAGTAGCTGGTATAGTTCAATAGTTGCTTGGTAAATATATTATTTTAAACTTAACATTATTATATGTTTTCTACGTAGGTACATTTTCTACATACTTACTCGTTTCATTACAGGTGGTTAATAATTCAGGTGTCTCCATATTGTTCTTTTGAAAATCCAATAAATGTGTTTTATTACAACTTTAAATTGTTATTATAATTAACTATTAAGTGCGCCTACTATATGTTATATATCTGCTTAAATATACACAGTGTCACAGTGCGAGTTAAGTTCATAATAGTTTATTGTACTCGTATTGATTTTTGCAATGTGAATTCAGGGTTACCATATTCACACAATAAAGATGTTGGGATTATATAAAAACAAGGCACACTGCACCCTAATCCTTGTTTGATGCTGTGCCCTACGAAACACTGCAGCGAAGTTTTGTTATTGCCACATCATGTTTAGGGTTTTCAAAACCCGGAAATTTCGGGAAATGACACAGGGAAAGAATAATATTCTCGTTCCCCGAAATTCCCGAATGGCCGGGATAGGAAATTCTCAGGAATTACCAAAAACTGTCAGATTACAAAATGAAAAAAAGGAAATGGTTTAAAAATTTGAATATTTAAATGGAATAACTACGCCATTAAATTTTATCTGTAGGTATAATGCGTAAACTATAATTCGTTTCCGCAATATCTGTGTTTGATTACCTTGAATACCCGGAAATTACCCATCATAGGCAGGCGCGTACACAAAAAAAAATTCTGGGGGTTCATAATCTATATATTTAAATAAAGTTCACAACTATTAATTTTCAGGGGGGTTGAACCCCCAAAACCCCCCTCTGTATACGCGCCCGATCATAGGACATTCCTTATCATGTTTGAACGAATAAGTAACACACCAACACAATAATATATATATAGGAAATAGGCATAAGTGCAATTAGGGGAAGCTGGCGGCTTATCAACCCCCTAAAATTAATTATTCAATTGTTTCCTAAAATATTAATAAACCTTCAAAAATTCAACTGTATTTCTTTTTTTTTGGAAAATTGTTCTTTTAAAAGTATAGGTACCTACCTACCTACCTGCCTACTTTCATTAACTATTCGTTTGACAATTATTTGTATTATTTGATGTATATCGATCATTCTAAATATTGTACATAGGGAAACCTTGTAAAAACGACTCCTAATAATAATAATTATTATTATTAATATTTACACAATCGTACAAATATTGTTGGGTTATTTTCGGGGATATATAATAAAAAAACAAAATATTATTGTTAATGTTAGGAAATTATATAATATAAATATGAAAGTGTATTCAATAAGTACCTATAATATAATATTTTAAACTTTGAACATAGATTGTTTTTTAATTTAATGTTTCTTTAATACCAACATGATTTTAATTTTTTTTATGATATAATATGTATACCTATGGGTGTACGTAGGTATTTGTATTTTAATATTTATTTAATATCTATATTAGCGTTTAAAAATATTTGTTCAATCATTTTTATGTGGATGTGAGTATCTAATATTGTTGTATGGGGAATTTTATTCCGATTACCACAGACAGTATATTATTATTTTATGAAAAATTAAACTTAGTAAATAAATATTTGTTTTTTGTTTTGTATGATTTGTTTGTATTTTTAAGTGGATATATTATATATGGGAGGTGTGGGGCCATTGCATTTTTATGTTATATCAGGTGGAGGCTACAGCCCCCCAACATTTTAGCCCGAATTGCGTGGCACTAGACATAGGTATATCTAAGTACAATTTATTCAAAAATGATATTGATTAGGTATTAGATATTTAGGTAGGTATGCACCACAATCCCATACACTGTGTACCTACTACAATCGTTTTTGTATAATTGAAGTCACGACGTAAAACTATTATAATTTAAAAGTGGATAGGTACCTATAAATTTGTTCGAGTAAAAGATTTGGTATCTGCGAATGTTTCAATTTTATATAAAATGAGCTACAGTAAGGAAAGCTTTAAGTACCTAGTACCTATCTGTCCCGTCATCTTGACAATTTATTTACTCTCTTTGGGAAACTAAATTAATAAGCTACAAAATATCTTTTTTTGAGAAAAGTTTCACATGGTACCTACTTCTTCTTTTTTTTGTTTTAAATAATAAAACGTCACGAGTATTGTATCATTTTTTTTTAGTATAGCTAAAATAGTATAATTTCAATTTAATATTATATCATAAACATATATTTAGGTAGGTATCCTTAAAGTTAACCATATTAAATTATATGATTACCTGTAGGTATAATTTTAATTTCTAACTTGCTAGGTAGGTTAAGGTATTTTGTTCCTGGGTCAAAGAAAAATATAATTTGTGTTCAATAGGTAAGAAAGTACATTTAGGTGTATATTCTTCCACCATAAATTATAATCAACCTTTATAATACGCCTATATATTATATAGCTATTGGGTAGGTATACAGACAATTTATAAAACAATATAATATTATAATTGGCTCGACAAACGAAAATAACTTCGGACGCGTATCCATGACACCATGACGTACCTATACTATGTATACATATTCACTCATTCACTCTAACCCAACAGTAATAGTTCATGTCGGGTTTTTAACCATCCTATAGTTCTCATCTTGTGGCCGAGACCGTTAACGTCTGAATTGTCCCGTACCTAACTACTAATCGTCTTCTTTTAATATTAATAATTATTATTGTATCCGTACAAAAAAATCAAAATTGCTGTAATTAAACTTCCACGGATCAAATGTCAGCGGAAAACGAAGAACTGGTGGCAGCCCCTGCGTCCGAAGTTCCTCCTGAGGATGTGCCACCCAAACAATCGGCGCCGACCATCGACTTAGGAGAAAAGAAACCTTTGGTGGTCGAACCGCTGACCGTTTTCTCGGACGAATCGTACGCGTGCGACCGGCAATACGCGATTGTGCTCGCCCAACTCGTGTCGGTCAAAGAACGGGTCAAAGTTTACACGTGGATCGAAAGGTTATTATTCTGGCATTTTTTTTCCAACCACGACAATATTAGTTGACCGCTTAACCCGTTGGGGGGGGGGCTTGTGTGCGGCACTAAGTATATGGGTACGAGGTACCTATATACAGTATCTAGGTACCTATCTAAATATAGGTAGGTAATGTCTGTTTTGCGTAGGATGGACACGATGAAGGACAGCGACGATATGCGTGAAGAACGTGACCTCTATTTGAAATTTTTAACCGTGTCGCTGAATAACGGAAAACTGGTTCCACCGTTCACCAAGGATCCGCCAGCAGGACTGCGCCCGCTCAGCACCATCGTGCCCAGGTCCGTTTACAATTTTATCTTCAAAGGAAAATACATCAATGCCGATTGCACCTTCCGTAATACCAAGGAGGTGGTGGACCAGAAGTTCAGTCCACCCTCAGAGGTCGAGCCTAGCCAGTTTTTTGCCCGACAGCCAGTGCCGCACAACGGTGACGTCGTGTACGCCGCCGCGTTTAGCACCAAAAAATGAAATGAAATGAAAACACAAACTTAATCATATTCTAGTTGTGTGTCTTTTAATAATATCGTGGACAATATAGACTTGTTTCGATGTGATATATTGATGAATTCTGTTTCTATGATGGAGGGGGGATGGCGGCGAATACAATGATGGTGTTCTAAAGGTTTTACTGATTTTAGTGTCAATTTCCAAATCTAGGTAAGTTAACTATTTGTTTACGCTCAAGAAAATTACTGGGGAAGTTTAAAATGATAAATCAAAGTAAAAACCAATTCGAAAATTTGTATTACTATTCTGACGAAAATTAACTTAATTTAGATACTCTTGAAGTTAAAAGTCAAGGGGGCTGCAATCCACGTATTTTTCATACGTTTTAGACCAATAAGTGGTAGTAAATTACACATACTTCAGAATGTCTGATTTCAATTTTTTATACATGATTGAATTCATTGATAAAATATCTAGGTTTCTTAGGAAGTCGATTTTCAATTTTCAATTTAAAATTACCTATTTTTTTTTTTAGAAATCAAATAAAATATTTGCATTACATTTGTATTTATTTTGGGCACATCTGATTTTAAATTAAAAAAAGTGATTCCTAAGAAGCATACCTAGTCTAGAAGTTTATAAATTCAACCATTTTTTCGAATTTCGGGAAGTATGATTAGTTTACTACCTCTTTAAGTCTTTTAGTACTTTTATAATCATGCAAACAAGAATATAGGTATTTTTTTTGGCGATGTTTTGACATGTGCGTGCTCGATTCTCGGAAACGATAACGGATTAAGCACTCTAATGTTCATTTCCTACCCACACACAGATACAGTATTAATTTAAATGTCACATAAATTGCCTGAATAGTACTCCTTAAAATATGCTACGGTGCAGCCCTCTTCATTTGAAAAAAATTAACGAGTTAATGAACTTAATTAAAATTAACTTAACATTTTAACTTTTAACTCGTTAATGCCAAGCCCTGTCAAATTCCCTCAGCAACCAACACCTATTTTATATTTTATTCAATTATAAATTTGATTTCGTGATTTCATTGAACATACTATTTTTCTAACGGGGAATTATTTGATGGCAAATTTTTCTTCACCGTACACATGTCATGTACTCATGTGTATACAACTCACATCTAAATTCCATGATTGTGCCTACCCTGTAGATATCTATACCTACTTACGTCCTATGTCACATTAGTATTTTTACTGACATCTTGAGTCTCTTCTAAAAAAATTCATCAAAGATAAATCATAAAATGGTTTATTGGGACTATTTAAAACTTGCTTACTAATTAGATTACCTATTTACCTATTATTTATAATTAAACTACATTTTGGCTAAAAAATACGGCGATACATTTCAATAGATATGTACCTAGTTGGTAAGCTAGATAATGGCTATACACAAGTGTATCACAATTCACAAACCTTGAAACACAAGTAACATAATATCACTATATCAGTGATCACTTACAAATAAGTTCAGATTCCTACTGGTAAACATTGTAAAGCACAAGTCTACTTGCTGTTTCTCTCCAACTACTGAAATTAAATATTTCCACTATTATAATGAATTTAAGTTTTGCAACAACTATACATTTGAAATTAAAATATCAAAATTTTAGTTAAAATTTGATCTAGTTACACAAAAATTTAAAAGTTCAAAACCAAAACAATGATATCAGTTTTTATTTTTAAATACAGAGTATTGATTGGAAGTATAAATTAACTTAATTTATAATAAGCTATTTAGTTTACTTTTAATTAAACATCAAACAATTACAAAAATAATATATTCTTCTCAATGATTAATCAATTTATTAATTATAAGATAATTAATAAATATTAATTAATAGATTAAAATAGTAAATACAACACAATTAATTTAAGCAAGTGTTAACATAAAATCACAATTTTAAATTACAAAAACAACAGGAATCGTTAAGTATTCATGTTTTAAAAGTTGACAGTATAACTATTTTTAATTGTAATATTATGTGTATTATGTACAATGTTTATTAATAAATACAATATTATATATAATAAAATAGTTACATGAAATATTTAACAATTATAATAATGCGTATATTTAGTAAGTCATTGATGTTTTTGTTTTTATTAATTTAAGAGGAATTTAATTCAACTCAAACATTAAATAAAACAATTTGAATATATTTAAAATTAATTAGTCATTGTACAACTCAAACAATCAATTTAAGTTTCAGGCTTGGAACTAAGAAAATATCTATCTCTATATGTATACATTTTTCAAGCGCTAGGCGAGAAACTATGGAAGAATACAGTACATTAAATGCTGTTTACACAATTCATTTATAAACATATGGGAGTTTTACTTCAGTCTTACAGACCATTATGAGATTATACTAAGAATATCCCTTTTAAATTAAGCCATAGAATAAATAATGTTGCTACTTCCATGTTGAAAAAAACAAAATCAAAACAACAAAAAAACTGATTTCAATTGATACAGCTTTAGTGAGACAGATACTTTTTACTTTTATATATTTCTTATTATTATTCTAACATGGATTTATGGTATAAATGTACAATTGTATAAAGTTCACTAAAGTTTATCTGTATTATATCAAAAACTAAATTTATTATTTTTTGCTTATTTTATTTCTTTTAGTACTTTTGTCTAACAAATCTAAGTTTAAATCAATCTTTTTCTCAGAATCTTGTTCGTTTTTGAATTCTTCAACAATTTTCTTTATATTTTGCTTAACACCTGATTTAATATTTTTTTTTTTCAACAAAAATATTTGTGTTTTAGTTTTTATTTTGAGCGGTGGAAAAGTATTATAATTAAATGAAATATGTGAAAATCCTGGTACAGTAGACATGACACCATGAGTATTTCGGTAATGAAGCATTTCTTCATTATCTCGGCTACTCGATCCAACAATTAAATGTGTAAACGACATAAGCTCTTCACATCCTGGTTTCAGATTTTCTTTTTTACTATACCTATTGATAAAGTTAAAACAAATTAGATTAATATAATTATTTTTACATTATTGTTTATTTTTTAAGGGTAAAAACATGTAAATACTTAAAAGTGCCTTAAATGTCAATAAACGTTAGGAATTTCAATTTATTGATATTAAAATGAATAAAAATATATTAAAATCTTTAAAGTAAAGTAAATTAAAAGTTTAAAGTAAAAAAATCGATTCAAATTGTTGTAGTAACATAGTTACCATGGTTTTAGTTGAAAAATCGAAGAACAACTCAAGATAACATTACTTTGTATTGTATATTTGTATTACTTACATCCAATGATCACTGAGTTGTGTAAATCGAGTTACTCCAGTTTGTGCAGCAAGATTGTCAATGTGTATACTATAATTAGCATCTAGATGATTGTATTCAAATGTATGCAATACTGTCATTGCATGGCCTCCTGGATAATTTTTAATTGCAGCACTCAATAGAATTACTGTAAAAGCCAAATTTGCAATAATATGACAAACACAGAATACAAGAGCAATTAGATTCTTGAATCCTTTTGGTCTAAACCTAGTTCGCCATCTGTAAACGATAAGTTTATAAATAAGTTAATTTTATTGACTGGATAATTATTTAATAATAACATTCAAGCATACACTCTATTGCAACAGGTAGCAGCAGATACGTTTAAAACTGGAAATACATAAATAATAAATCGAAGTTCTTTGTGTGGCAGTATTGAATAAATCAATACAAACATCAATGTTGGAATTATAAGTCTCGTTACTCGAACATCGTTTATCACACCAAAGGGTATTAACAATATAGAAAATGCAACGCCCCGCGGTATTGCTGAATAAAAGTACCATAAAAATGGTGTAGTCTAATTTTATGTAATTAAGAATAATATGTGTTTATTATAAAATATAACTATAAACAAACAATATTAACATATCAATTTCATTAAATTTATAATCATTATAACTCGAAATTGTCAATACATCAAACTTTTTGGCAGGTCCCATCAACTTCGTGTTAACCAAGTCCGACTGTAATAACTTACTATTTTTAAGTTAATATTTAAATTGATTTTTACTCAATAAAAACTAATTTTTTAAGTAACTTGGTGGTTATTTATTTAGAATATAATACAAGTACCTACATATTTTGTATCTATTACCGTTATAGTCAACTTATAATAAACTTTAAAAGTATACATTATGTATAAGCCATTTTTTTTTTTTTATTTTTAGAAAAATTGTTTGGGTAAAATTATTAATTATTCATAGATATGAAGCATCATAATTGTTATTATGACATTTGAAAATGGACTGCTTTGAGACATGATTATGAATTTAACTAATTTATTCTATCTACTGTTTCCAATATCTGTATGGCAACATTTTAAAGACGTTTAATACTAAAAATTGTTACTTTTGTCTATTTGTAAATTTTTTGAGTATTTTTCATAAAATATTTTGAAAAGGATACACCCCATTCACTGCTTCTATTGAGTACTGTATTAAACCACAATACTTCTCCTTCAGGCCATAGTGGACGACCCCAAAATATAGAGTCAATTATAATACTTGCACTCAAAACAGTTGTTGCCGCCAAAAATCCAATTTTTAGTCCCCTAACAAATAACAATTTAAAATGCATATAATTATATAAACTTATATCTAGTTAAATCAAGGGAAAATTATGAAATAATAACTATAACACATACCGGAATAGTTTAAGACGCTTATATAACAACTCCATCAGTATAATAATACCTAAATAAATAACCAATTCTGAACGGAATATTAAAACAGCAATTGCCGAACTCCATATTAATAAGGTATGTTTTCCTCTAATCCAAGAACTCAGTGCTACCATTACTGTATTCCTAACGAAAAAACTAATATAATTTAAAAATTCTCAACTAATGTAACATTAACTTTAGTATTGTATGTCATATAAAGTATTGTAAAGTAAAAACATGAAACAATAAATTTTAAATAATCTTTATTATTCATTTTTTATGATTAAAATTAGTTTAACATACTGATATAATTATTTATATTTACTGCATCAAAAAGGATAGTCTTATAAGCATCTATTTAGATAATAAGCAAGGCTATGAACTTACAGCACTAAGAAAGTTACGATTAACGACTTTAATATGCGCTAAAAAAAAACATCAATATATGCACTAAAAATTAGGACATAAGCAAAATAAAATTTTTTAAAAAAACATTAATTTTTTTTTATCATTATTTATATATAGTAGTATAATTGTATAATATATCTACTCAGGTAGATATTAGATGGAAACTGTTCCGGAATAAATTATGTATAAGCTGTTACTTTCCCAAAAAAATAATTTACTTTAATATACCTTTCCAATAATATCAATTTATGTGCAATTTTTAACGTTCTCGATGAGCAAATATTGTAAAAATTCAACAAAATGTGTTTAAATTCCTACACGAGAATCTAACTAAAATTAGTATTAAAGATTCAAATTAAGCAGAATAGCACTGTAAACAGTAAATATGCGAAAATGTTGTATACTAAAATAGGAAAGAAAAACAAATCCATAAGCTACTTTGGATGTTCTAAGAATTATCAAAAAATATATACATAAACCATATGCTAGAATTTTCTGGGCCCTGATAATAAGTCATTCAAAATAATCGTACAGTTTATAATTTTAGGAGCTTTTTTACATTATTAACATTCTAACATAATTCTCACATACATTATATTATATAAATTGTAAATATATTTTGTAAGCTATACTTATTTAATATTTATTTTCTAAGTATTATGTAAGTCTTTACAATACTGTATATAGATATCATATAGATATTTAACTTTTACCAAGTAAATACTGACCTAAAGGAAATGCCATGATATTAGGGAGTGGACGACTTGAATAAAACATTAAATGATACTGTGACGCTGTTAAAATTATAAACCAGTTTCCAACTCCATTACCAAATACCTTTGCAATACTTTTTACAAAGTATTTGATACTTGTAACTACTACAATACTTAATACTGCACGAACTGTAAATTAAAATATTAATTAATTTTAAAATGTATATATATAATAATTAGTATTATACCAATTTTACCTAATAATTGGCTAATCATTTTGTTGAACTGAAGATAATGAAGAACAGAGGCAAATGGAAATGACAACATTGATATGAACAGTGGACCCAAAAATGTTCTTGGTACAACACCAGGAAATTCTAAATGATCATACTGAAAAAAATGAGTTTAAACTTGTTAAAAACATAAATAAGTACCAAGATACAACAAACTTTCAATCAAAATTTTACAATATTATAGATCACTATTAATCGTAAGTTGGCAATAACGATCTGCTGTTCATTAAGTATCTAGTCTTTAAATATATAATAAATAATATTAGGCAAATATATTTTAGGGTAAGAGGTGCTGTAGCATCCCAGCATCTCAGCCAGTCCACGCCTGATTGTAGGGAAATTAGTTAATTCAAGACAATATAATATAAATATATAATACAGGAATTGAAGTGATTCCTCTATAATAAAGAATATTATCATTAACATCAGTTCACCCACGTAAATTGTTAACTTGATTTTTTTTTTTTTTAATTAGATAATTAACCTTCATAATTTATACAATTGTGGGTACCTATATCATACATATAGACAGAAAATTATTAATAATTTACATTTTCTTCTGGGTTTAAATTGGATTGATTTTATTTTAAGAAAATATTCAATATGATATGAAGAAATATTAAACATTTTAAAATGTAGGTATTACCTAGCTTTGTAAATTAATTTAAATATCAGTTCATAAAAGATTGAAAAAATAATTAAATTAATATACATAGGACATGGATATTTCTAATAGTATGATACGTTGTAGCCAACATATCTTAAACAGGTTACCCAAGTGTGTAACTTCACACTTAATGAGATTTGGAAATCCAAACATTCGCACCGGCAAATAAAGCAACAGATTTTTCGTCAATAAAACTTTGTCCACACACACCTGAGATAAATTAGTCTTATAGTACAAAATGTCGTGCATTGCTTGCATGTTGAAACTCTCTTCGACTTTGGTGAACGGGCAGAGAATCAAATGCGTCGCCGAGACGACGTACAATATTTTGTCCATGATGATATATTTATTTGACGTTTACAACGATCGCACTACGTTCATATGAACGTGAACAGGAACTCGAGTAGCTAAGCGATAGTGAGCTCAATCGCACAACAGTGCAATAATAATATTTAATAGGCATACAAAACAAGAGAGTAAATAATAAATATCATAACTTGAATTTATTTTTCGATCAATATTTTGATAATGTTCACAATCAGAAGTTCGGAACTCGTATTATCAGTAAGTTCGTCGGCGAACGTGTGTTATCAGAATGGAAATGTCAAGGGGATTGTAAAATATTGCCGCTTGTTTCAAAAACGACGAGCATCGGACCAAAACTACAATATAACGTCAGATCGTTCTTCGGCTAGGTGTGATTTTAATAATTTGACTCTAATAAAGTATCAGATACAATTAGCTAGAGATTAGAAGAGGACTTAGCTCCCTCGAACGTCTTTCAATATCCCCACACCCTTTATTACAAAATTTTAATTGTAACATTTTCCTTTATATAATTGATCAACATTTTCATAGTTAAGTTAAATGTACTAACAACTATAAGTAGGTACCTGTCTACCAGTTTATATAGAAAATTAGATTAGTAAAAGTGGGAAATATTTTTACAGAAAACAAATTTACCTACTTAAAAAATTAAGTCTCGTGGGATCACAAACACATTGCGTATGGCATACGCGTCATACTTAATAAAATAAACTCAATTTAATTTATCAATTAAGCTGATATAGTTATTATAATAATATAATATTAAAGGTAACAACCAAAGTAACACTCAGTTCCGTATAAACAGCCGGTGCAAACAGGTCCCCTATCACTTATAGCATTCGAATATATAATAGACTAATAGAGGCACCCGTCCCCGATATTACGGATACCAAAGTATCATATTAGCATGGGGTTTTATTGATACTGCCAGACCTTTTCATACTACATAAGGTATATCGATTTCTCTAGCATATTTTGCACCAGTACAGGCAGTGGCGTATATAGAAATCATTTTTGGGGTGGGCTATAGAAGATAAAAACTAGCAAGTGATTTATTACTTAGAGGCTACGGTTCCACTATATATTGAACAGTTTCTATAAATATATTCATATTTGTTATTTTTCAACAGGCTATGGCCCATGAAATATTATAACTTATAATAGTACCTAATAATATATATTTTTGTTCTATTACAGACTGTAATTTCAGGGGGGGGGGCTGCGGCTACTGAGTACACGCAGGTAATCTATAAAAAAAATATACATAATTTGAAATAATTGTTAATACGGTAACAATAATTACGGTAATATACATAACTATAACAAATATATAGTCTGGGGATTCATTACGATTTGTGCACCCCAATTCCCCAAAAATATTCATCTAGTTGCGCCCATGTTTTTGACCAATTTTCATTAGCGGCATACCAAATATTTCTGTTTAAGGGGCATGAGTGGCAACCCATTGGGCAGGTTATAATTTTCTTAGACTTTAAAGGGGCTGCAACCCACGTATTTTTCATACATTTTAGACCAATAAGCGGTGGTAAATTACCCATACTTCTGATGTCTGATTTAAATTTTTTATACATGTTTGAATTCATTGGTAAAATATCTAGGTTTCTTAGGAAGTCGATTTTCATTTTTCAATAACCATTTTTTTTTTAGAAATTCCATGAAATAATTACATTACATTTGTATTTCTTTTGGGCACAACTGATTTTAAATAAAAAAAGTGATTCCTAAGAAGCATAGTCTAAAAGTTTATAAATTCAACCATTTTTTCGAAATTACAATCAAACTTCGGGAAATATGATTAATTTACTACCGCTTTTAGTAGTTTTATAGTCATGCAAACAAGAATATACTTCATTTTTGGCGATTTATTGACAGTGTGAGATTTGCTTAGGGCGCTGTTACCCGACTCGACGTGCAGCGATTCTCGGAAACGATAACGGATTATGCACACTAATGTTCATTTACTACTCACACACAGATATAGTATTTAAATGTCACATGAATTGCCTAAATAGTACTCCTTAAAATATGCAACGGTGCAGCCCCCTTAATTTGGTTAAGGTTTTTTTTTAAGTGTTATTATGGTTTTAAAGACCTTTGTTAATAAGGGGCCAAGTCTCTAACAATTTTGGAACTCAAATTTTCTTTTTCAGAATTCTTGTCACTTACTAGATTAATCGGTTCGTTTCAAATACCAAATAAAACTACACATCTTAAATCAATCCAATGTGGCTGTTTTTATCATAAAAATACCAATTTTTTGGTGTTGAAGAAATTATTTCTTATTGGAGCTTTCCAAAAAACTACTCTTTTTAGATTAACGAATTTGTTTTATATTATAATTTTATTGCAAATTGCAATTGAAAATCAACAATTATTTTTATAAGTAAAAGTAGGTAACAACCACTAGAGTCTAGATTGTACCTGTACAGTGTACAGTAGGTGTCGTGTGTATCCAGCTATCAAGGGTCATATTTAAAAATTTTGCACCAATTTTCAAAACATTTTTTGTAATACCTATCGTAGAACCAAAACAAACAACAGAAGTGGTCAAAACATTTGTGTATTTATCTTCATCGACTGATGAGTGAAAAAAAAAAGTAATTTAAATTTAAACATTTAAAACATAGGTAAATAGGAACTTTCGATAGTTGGTTAATAAATGTTTAACTACAAAATATCCGAAAATTATGATGATCCGTAGTTTGGCCAAACCTATCATAATATAGCATTCCAGATACTGATATAATGAATCCAATAAAACTTTACATAACGCTTTGGTAATAACTGTGGAAACTAGAGGTGTATAAATACCAACAAAACTGGCGTGCATAAAAATTGGAAAAATATTATTATAGTAGATAATGGTTTGTTTAAAATTATATTATTATTTAAAATTAAATTAAATTTAGTGGTACATGTTGGCAACGTTGCATTAATTTCGTACTCAATCGTAATGTTCGTAAAGTTTTTAAGCTGGACTAAAATTGCGTGTAGTACGGAGTCAGTATTATTATCTGTAAAAGTAACATTTTTTACAGTTTTTCTTCATTAATTGAAAAATTATTGTTGGAAATACATTTTAAAAATGCATATAAAAGTATTGGAGTACCTATTGTTAAATATAAAAAATTAGACTGTCATGATGTTTTGAAAATATTTGTCAGTTACTATTACTATAGGTATGAGTATAGTACATTATGAAGAAAACAAATTTTATACAATGGCCTCGTTATTTAAACAATAATCCATACTGGATTTTTGAGCAATGGGCTCAGAAATTAAATATACTTCAAACATCTTTTATTTTTGGCATATACGTATGACCATACAGATAAACATTAAACATACTTATAAGATAACGATCATGTTTCAATTTTTTGTATAAAAATTATAGTTATGCGTTCTTTTTTTATAAAAATTGCATAAGGTTAAGTTGGGTAAATTGCATAAGGCTAGAGGGCCTGAATATAATACCTAATTTTTTATCTTAATTTTATATAATATATCTCATCAGAATTATACAGAATAATTGTAATTACTAATTTCTATGATACAACAATTATTTTTGTTATTTGTTGTATGTAATTGTACCTAGTTGCTATTTTTAACATTTAAAAAAAAAAAAACAAAAACTTTGTAAGTATATAACTTTATTATAAATTTTATAAAACAATATAATATAATATTAAAAATGAAAATGAAAAAATACCTTTTTATAAATTAAAAAAAATTACTTAAAAACAAAATTGTAAAAAAAAAAAATGGTTTTCAAGATAAAACCTGTTCAGAAAATCTCCAAAGAGCCAGTGAAATAGTCGTTCACAATATTATTTTATGGCCACATGGTATTAAGGCATGTGTTCTTTCTTCAACAGTACATATTATGCACAGCTGATGTTGATTTTCTAATGAAGGAAGAACAGGATTCCATCATCACAATCATATCAGGATCCCTGATCTTCCTCATTTCCTAAATTAGAGAATGTAATTCAAATTAAAAAATACATTGTTTAAGTTATAATGTTAAAATAATTTAAAATTAAATATCAAATAAAATATAGTAGGTACTTATTAAAAATTATATTATGATTATATTTTTATGTACTCTCCTGTTCATTTCCCCTATTATTTATTATCTATCTATATATATTTGGAAAAGTGCATATTTGAGCAATTCTTAGCATATTTGTGAATATTTCGAATTTTTTATATTTTAGTGCACGTAAAATGGTCTGAATAATCATACTTGGATAACATTCAAAAATATTTATTAAAATAAATTATGTTTGGGTAGGTAGTATTGGCGGAAATAGCGTTTAAGATTTGGAGAGGCTGAAGCCTGAAAAGTCCTACTATTATAATATTGAATAAGTTTAAAAAAAAATTTGAATATATTGAGGAAGACTTTTCAAATTGATGGTGATAGCTTGGCCCAATATCACTTCTCCCTATTTGTGTGTTAGTAGGCTGGTAGGTACATACAATTTTATGATTCTCTTTGTGAAAAAACTGTTTTAAAACTAATTGACCCTTAGTTTTTAGATTGTACAAAGAAATGAAAATCAGAAGGTTAGGTCGGTTTAGTATTTGAACACCAAGTCTTCCTATTCCTATATGTAGTTAATAATTGAACATATATTTGTAAGTAAAAGGTGGGAAAGTTAATGAAAATAATAAACTCAAGTTAAGTTAAGAGGACACAAGATCGATGAGTTAAAAATTAACAAATTATAAATTGAACTCGATAAGTTAAAAGTTAATATGGGAAAAATATTAACTTAATTCAGTTTAAAAAAAGTTAATCTACATTTTTTAATTAGTATGTTGATCACATAACAAGTGACTACATTATTTCTAATTTCCAAAATTGTAATAAACAATTTTATTGAACTTTAATCGTAATGTTTAGTGTATGTACCTATTTTACTTTACACGATTATTAAATTTTTAAAATATATCAATACATCCTTATTAATAATTTAAGAAAATATACGGTGTGTAAACATTAATTGAGAACACTCGATATCTTTGAGTAGAGCAATGCAATTTGAATTTTGCTTTCTAATTGGTTTTTAGGACATAAAAATACACATTTTTATGGCCTTTGAATTTTGAAAACTTAATTAGACTTGCGCATGTGCAGTACCACTTTTTTTTCTTAAATGGCAAACACCTATTTTAACCACAAATTTTTTTTTGCCTGATTTTTTAATGCATTTTGGTAGTTTAACCAACTTCCTAAGTACAAAATTAACCAAGTTTAATTAAAAAAATTTAAGAAAACAGCCAATCAACAAAAATACTGCAAAATGCATGTATAACCTGAGCATATTTACATTATGCATAGATAAACAATTCTTCAATTTGCTGTGCTGGAAGTAAAGGAATTACCATAATCAACTTAAATGTTTTTAAAGAGGATTCATTGGTGATGATTAAATTCAAAAAACCTAATTTTTTCATTTTACTCAAAACAGTCTAAAAATGTATTATTTTTTATGATTTACGTAAGTTAATGATTTTTGTATTACAGTTTTCTAATTTAAGAGTTACACACTTGGTTAATATGAAACCAACACCCATGGGCTGCAGATGTTGGAAAATGCCTGATTAGTTCTATTCTCAAAGCTGCTTCAAAATCCGTTAAAAAAACTGTAGGTCTAAATTCTGGAAGGAGATAATGTTTAACGTAATGAAGAGCTGCATCATATGCCTCTGCGGTTTTCTTCTCCATTATAACATAAACTAAAAGTATTTATGTTAATTCTTTGCCAAGCTCTACAGGGCAAACGGCTGAACATATAAAGTCGTATGAGGTATCAATCGATCATAAATATTGTGCAGATGGGAACAAAGGAATTCGCTAGCAGATTGGTTAGATAGTTTATAAGTTATAACTTATAAGCAAAAATGTCCAAGTACTTTTAAGACCGATTTTGCGTACGGAATAGTGGGGATGGATAAGCGGTGGGTAGGGGAACGAAAATATTGTAAATATCCCCCGACCCGCCACTTATCCATTCCCACTACTCTCATCGCGGCGGCGGAGGCGACGACGTACGACGATTGGCGATTGCGACGGCGCGGTCTCTCGGATACCGGTCGTTGGCAACCATTTGGCATTTACCATTATACGATTTCGTGTATTGCTAACAAGTGACGACCAGCAAAATAGTATAATATAGATTATAGGTACTTTCTGACGACTCAACGACTGTGATTGTTTAGTGATCCAGCTCGACGGTATCATATTATTATGCTGAAAACTTGGAACAATAATAAAATAAAATAGGCAATCTGGTGATTAATTCAGTACCCGTGGCAACAATTAAGGTCGATGGCAAATCATATGCTCTTAATTCTGTGATTTGGCATCATGGTCCATCTATAACTCTCAAGTCTCAAGCCCATTACACATCAGTTATTAAACATAATAATAAAATATGGGTTAGATGGAACGATATAATATTTATATTCTAGTTTTAGAAAAAAAAAAACTAAAATAGAAAAAAAGATATGACAACAGGAGGCCAACGATGCATATGCTATTATGGATTACTATTATTATATAGGTACAGTAAAATAAAATCGCGACTTATTTCATAAAAAAATAGCTGATATCACACCAAAAACACTTCGTTACAACTCCGTGTAAAAAAAAGCTAATATAAAAATAAAAAGGTGCTCTGCTGTACAGTAGATTACAAGTGGGTCTCTGTATAATGGATGGTATTAAATTTTAATTCAATGATATAATATCATTGTATAAGAAAAACGATTCTGATCGGAGACGGTATGTCAGTCTAGGTATAAGACATATTATGTACTTATCTATGGTATTAAAAAAAAAAATGTACCTTTAATAAATTCCAAATTAATCATATCACAATATCCATTAGGTACTTATAACGCGTTATACATCAACAATAAACCCTGATACTATCATAGATATATAATAGTACACTTTAGAAGTTTCAAGTACCCACGAATAATATTATTCAATCACAACAAAATAACTAAAATAGTTATTCTAGGTTTTTTAATATGTAATTTCGTCCAAATTTGAAATTAAAATGTCTGTAAAAAATAAGTGTGTTTATATATTTTTTAGATTTTTTGGTTACAGTATGAATTATTTAAGAGAATCTTTGTTTTAAATTTTCAACTCTTAGTTATAAAAACTGAACATTTTATAATCTTTTAATTCCAACGATTGATTATTTTCGAGATTTTGATAAATTTTGTCAAAATTCCAACTTTAAATGCTTATAAAAAAAAATCGTGCTTATGTATTTTTAAAATTTTTCAACTGATATTGTAACAATATATAAGAAAGCTTGTATTCAATTTTCAGACTTTTTGGCCCACCAAATAAAATTTTATTGACAATTATAAAAAAAAAACTAAAAAAATTGAAAACTGAATATGTCCCTAAACAGCTCAAAAAGAGTCAAAATATTTTCAAAATTGTATGGTGTATAGAAAATGCTAATTTAAACATTCAGTGAAATTTTCATGTATCTACAGTTGTTCGTTTTTGAATTACAACAAAATAAGGAAATCGCTACATGAGAAATCGAGTGAATATCCAATGTTGTAAAAATTTTAATTTCAAACGCTCATAAAAATTTAACTTGACTGTCCGGTAGAGATTTTTTTATTGATAAAGGTAGATAATCTTATAAGGAATCTTGTGTTTCATTTTCAAATCTTAGATTTAAAAAGAAAAATTTTTACGAATTCTTAACTCAAAATAATTTGCTAATTTTCGTGATTTTTCCATATTTTGTCAATTTTTGAACTTTAAATGCTTATAAAAAAAAATTGTGACTAAGGATTTTTAATATTTTTCATCTGCCTTTGAAACAACATATTAGGAGCCTTCTATTAAATTTTCAAGCTTTCGCAACCAACAAATAAAATTTTATTGATATTTCTAGAAAAAAAACTAAAAAAAAATGAAAAATGAAAATGTCCCTAAACAGTTCAAAATAAATCAAAATATTTTGAAAATGTTATCGTGTATAGAAAATGCAAATATAAACAACCAGTGAAAATTTCATGTATCTACGGTCATTTGTTTTAAAGTTACACCAAAAACCAAATTCGATTTTTTGGAAAATCGATTTTGCGTAAAAATTCCCGTTTTTCCTTAATTTTTATGTTGTTTTTTCCCGGCGCTTGTGAAAACTACTGGAAAATGTTTACTTTTGACCCCCCAAAGTACCAACTAGATTCACTTTCCTATCAGAAAAGGTACTATTGAAGAAAATCGAAGCACTTTTACTGTCCCAAAACGTGATGACAGACACAAAAATATAAATAAAAATATAAATAAAAAGGTGGGCAAGTGGGTGTCGCTCTGCTGTACAGTAGGTTACAAGTGGGTCACTGTATAATGGATGGTATTATATTTGAATTCAATGATATAATATCATTGTATAAGAAAAACGATTCTGAGCGGTGACGGTATGTCAGTCTATGTATAAGACATATTATATACATATCTATGGTATTGAACAAAAAATTGACCTATAATAGGTACGTATAATAAATTCCAAACTAATCATATCACAATATCCATTAGATACTTATAACGCGTTATACATCAACAAAAACCGTGATACTATCATAGATATATAATAGTACACTTTAGAAGTTTCAAGTACCCACGAATAATATTATTCAATCACAACAAAATAACTAAAATCGTAATTCTTGGTTTAAATATGAAATTTTGTCTAAATTTGAAATTAAAATGTCTGTAAAAAATAAGTGTGTTTATATATTTCTTAGATTTTTTGGTTACAGTATGAATTATTTAAGAGAATCTTTGTTTTAAATTTTCAACTCTTAGTTATAAAAACTGAACATTTTATAATTTTTTAATTCCAACGATTGATAATTTTCGAGATTTTGATAAATTTTGTCAAAATTCCAACTTTAAATGCTTATAAAAAAAAATCGTGCCTATGTATTTTTAATATTTTTCAACTGATATTGTAACAATATATCAGGAGCCTTGTATTAAATTTTTACACTTTTTGGCCCAACAGATAAAACTTTATTGATATTTATAGAAAAAAAAACTAAAAAAAATTGAAAGCTGTAAATGTCCATAAACAGCTCAAAAAGAGTCAAAATATTTTCAAAATTGTATGGTATATAGGAAATGATAATATAAACATTCAGTGAAATTTTCATGTATCTACAGTTATTCGTTTTTGAATTACAACAAAATAAGGAAATCGCTACATGAGAAATCGAGTGAACATCCAATGTTGTAAAAATTTGAATTTCAAACGCTCATAAAAATTTAATTTGACATTCCGGTAGAGATTTTTTTATTGATAAAGGTAGACAAACTTATGAGTAATCTTATATTACATTTTCAAATCTTAGATTTAAAAAGAAAAATTTTTACGAATTCTTAACTCAAAATAATTTGCTAATTTTCGTGATTTTTCCATATTTTGTCAATTTTTGAACTTTAAATGCTTATAAAAAAAAATTGTGACTAAGGATTTTTAATATTTTTCATCTGCCTTTGAAACGACATATTAGGAGCCTTCTATTAAATTTTCAAGCTTTCGCAACCAACAAATAAAATTTTATTGATATTTCTAGAAAAAAAACTAAAAAAAAATGAAAAATGAAAATGTCCCTAAACAGTTCAAAATAAATCAAAATATTTTGAAAATGTTATCGTGTATAGAAAATGCAAATATAAACAACCAGTGAAAATTTCATGTATCTACGGTCATTTGTTTTAAAGTTACACCAAAAACCAAATTCGATTTTTGGAAAATCGATTTTGCGTAAAAATTCCCGTTTTTCCTTAATTTTTATGTTGTTTTTCCCGGCGCTTGTGAAAACTACTGGAAAATGTTTACTTTTGACCCCCCAAAGTACCAACTAGATTCACTTTCCTATCAGAAAAGGTACTATTGAAGAAAATCGAAGCACTTTTACTGTCCCAAAACGTGATGACAGACACAAAAATATAAATAAAAATATAAATAAAAAGGTGGGCAAGTGGGTGTCGCTCTGCTGTACAGTAGGTTACAAGTGGGTCACTGTATAATGGATGGTATTATATTTGAATTCAATGATATAATATCATTGTATAAGAAAAACGATTCTGAGCGGTGACGGTATGTCAGTCTATGTATAAGACATATTATATACATATCTATGGTATTGAACAAAAAATTGACCTATAATAGGTACGTATAATAAATTCCAAACTAATCATATCACAATATCCATTAGATACTTATAACGCGTTATACATCAACAAAAACCGTGATACTATCATAGATATATAATAGTACACTTTAGAAGTTTCAAGTACCCACGAATAATATTATTCAATCACAACAAAATAACTAAAATCGTAATTCTTGGTTTAAATATGAAATTTTGTCTAAATTTGAAATTAAAATGTCTGTAAAAAATAAGTGTGTTTATATATTTCTTAGATTTTTTGGTTACAGTATGAATTATTTAAGAGAATCTTTGTTTTAAATTTTCAACTCTTAGTTATAAAAACTGAACATTTTATAATTTTTTAATTCCAACGATTGATAATTTTCGAGATTTTGATAAATTTTGTCAAAATTCCAACTTTAAATGCTTATAAAAAAAAATCGTGCCTATGTATTTTTAATATTTTTCAACTGATATTGTAACAATATATCAGGAGCCTTGTATTAAATTTTTACACTTTTTGGCCCAACAGATAAAACTTTATTGATATTTATAGAAAAAAAAACTAAAAAAAATTGAAAGCTGTAAATGTCCATAAACAGCTCAAAAAGAGTCAAAATATTTTCAAAATTGTATGGTATATAGGAAATGATAATATAAACATTCAGTGAAATTTTCATGTATCTACAGTTATTCGTTTTTGAATTACAACAAAATAAGGAAATCGCTACATGAGAAATCGAGTGAACATCCAATGTTGTAAAAATTTGAATTTCAAACGCTCATAAAAATTTAATTTGACATTCCGGTAGAGATTTTTTTATTGATAAAGGTAGACAAACTTATGAGTAATCTTATATTACATTTTCAAATCTTAGATTTAAAAAGAAAAATTTTTACGAATTCTTAACTCAAAATAATTTGCTAATTTTCGTGATTTTTCCATATTTTGTCAATTTTTGAACTTTAAATGCTTATAAAAAAAAATTGTGACTAAGGATTTTTAATATTTTTCATCTGCCTTTGAAACAACATATTAGGAGCCTTCTATTAAATTTTCAAGCTTTCGCAACCAACAAATAAAATTTTATTGATATTTCTAGAAAAAAAACTAAAAAAAAATGAAAAATGAAAATGTCCCTAAACAGTTCAAAATAAATCAAAATATTTTGAAAATGTTATCGTGTATAGAAAATGCAAATATAAACAACCAGTGAAAATTTCATGTATCTACGGTCATTTGTTTTAAAGTTACACCAAAAACCAAATTCGATTTTTTGGAAAATCGATTTTGCGTAAAAATTCCCGTTTTTCCTTAATTTTTATGTTGTTTTTCCCGGCGCTTGTGAAAACTACTGGAAAATGTTTACTTTTGACCCCCCAAAGTACCAACTAGATTCACTTTCCTATCAGAAAAGGTACTATTGAAGAAAATCGAAGCACTTTTACTGTCCCAAAACGTGATGACAGACACAAAAATATAAAAATATAAAAATATAAAAATATAAAAACATACATCATTGTAAAACCAATACATTCATCGCTCCGCTCAGAATCTAAAATATAAAAACATACATCATTGTAAAACCAATACATTCATCGCTCCGCTCAGAATCTAAAATTTAGTCATGATTAAATCTTTAAAAGACGTGATATAATATGGAAATTAAGTAAAATTACATTTTATAATATTACAAATACCTATGATGACAAATAAGATCAATTGTAATGTTAAATACTTAGTCAACATATTATGTTTAACTATTTGGCAGGACGCAGAAGTATACTTAAATAAATACAATTAAGTAATCACTACAGTATTTACAGTAATTAATAATGTATCAGCAATATGTCACCACTCGCTTCACTCGCCACGCGAATACTGCGGCTTCATATGCACACTTCACCAGGCAGTACCAGCCACACGCCACGCCATCTGGGGGAGTTTACAATATATTATATAGAAGATTACAACAAAATAACTAAATTTGTTATTTTTATTAGTTTCTATGGTGATACACAAATGTAGCGTTAAAAATTAATATCCCATTATTATAGAGGTGTTTCATAATTTGTCGGTAGTTTTTCTCGTGTCATTAAATAGTTATTGAGAAAATCGAAAAACGACCTCTCTAAAGTACCATCTTGATCCAATTTTCTAAAATATAAGATACGATATGTTGAAATCGAAGCACTGATAGAAATTTTGTATACAGGATGTAAAAAAAAAAAAACATACAAGTTATATTGACGTTCTTACTGTAAATAATATTATTCGACTACATTTTACTGATGCGTATGCGTTTTTAGTCGTCGTCTAGGCGCAAACAACAATACACTATATTATCCTATAGACGGATTACTGCGATGTAATAATATAATAATATAATATATAGGTGTTATACCTACTATTATATTGTAGTTTGATCACAGGCGCAAATTTAGGGGGGCTTGGGGTGATAAGCCACCCTCCAAATCCTAGGACATACAATTTTAATATGCTATATTTCAATGGTCTGCTTGTCTTTAGTATATGCAGCCCCCCCCCCCCCAAGTTAAAAGTTGAAATTGCGCCTATGAGTTTGATCCAAACAGATAATAATATTATTAAGAGAGACACATGTAATGTGTTTGAAAAAAGTATCGAAAACAAGATCCAAAAGGTCCAGTACATTTTTGCATTATAGACACAATTTAAACATGTACCTATGCGTGTATAGGTATGTGTATATGTTTTGTGTATCCTGCACGGTTTAAGATAGGTCTATCTATATATTACGTTCAAGGGGGCCTTAAACCCGTAAGAATTCTACCTTTTACGATGAACATAATATTATTATATCGATTTTAATTATTTAATAAATATAATAAAATAAAATACAGAAAAATCCTAACATTTTATATTTTTTTTAAGTAATTTGAAATGTAGCACTGGCCAGTTAAAAATGCCATCTGCAGTTGCCCATCTCTGATATTGACTGTCTAATATCAATAGAGATTGAGTATAGATATGATAAAAATCTTTAGTTTTTGAGCCAAGAGGTAGCTACTAAAATTGTCTCAAAATGACAAATTATCGGAAATTAGAAAATTATTTTGCATTAAAAATTTATAAAATGTACCTACCCATACCTTTCTCACAGGCTTAACAATGTGCAATAAACCTCATAAGTCGTAAAAAATGAGTTTTCCTTAGCAACTATAAAAATATCTGAAAGACATGTGCACAATAATTGTAGGTACCTACCTATTATTGAATATTTTTATAAGCATTGAAGTAAAAAGTTCAAGTATAGGTATTTGTTCATTACCTTAGTCTTACGTATTTCAACTCAATGTCAATTAATATTAAAATAATTAATAAGTATATACGCTAACTCCAGGCATCTCAAAAAATTGATTGTTAACTGGTTAGACACTCTATTAGACTAGTGTTTTATGTAAATTATATATTCATATTATAGTTTGTTATGTACAGAAATTCTAACATACAATTTATTTTTTTATTCTTTTATTTACATTTATATTTGATTGATTATTATAATAATAACTAGATTTTGTAACTCTCTACCATCATCACAAGCTTGTTTACAGGTGGTAGATAGATTCATCTTATTACATTATTGTAAACTTGTTTTTTTGAGCTATGTATAATTTATAATAAATGAATTTCTTAATAAAAAAAAAAATTGCTCGTTCCCTTCTTTCAATAGGTATAGCAGAATAGCATATTTTTTTCGTATACCCGTACAGGTAGGTACCTAATAGGTGCCCATAGGTACAGTAAATTACAATAATTTAATAAATTAGGTATTTAAAGATTTTAAGAAAAATGTACAATTTTAATTTTGCCTTGGATGTTCGGGGATCATTGATTATTTGACATTTCCCGTAGGTACTAATTGAAAAAAAAAACCATCGGAAAATATAAAATATCAAGGTTTCTGGCTGTCTGGCCAGACACACAATTTGAAAAAAATTACTCAGCTCAAGTATGGACGGTTATTCATTATAATAATATTCGATTGACATCGACTGAGTAGGTACTGACGACAGTAGAGTATTATTATAATGAACATGTATATAATATATACATACATTGCATATTATGGCATATCGATCGTGGCCATATACTTATGAACCGCGCCCGTTATTTAGTTTCACAGATATATGTCGAGAAACGAGCACGCCCGATGATACAAACGTAATCACCGTCACTGTTGATAAGATAACTCGTAAATTCGTAACAAATCACTGACTTATTATAATAATAATAAAATGTAATTTGTTTTATGAGTGTAACACAATATTCGAGTGTTATTACACCGTAATTATAATAATTGTTTGTTAATTGTAAATAATTAGATACACCGATATACGTCAATAGTGACAATGACTAATGTTGTAATCGACCAATTCGTGTTTTACGGTCTCTAGTCGGTTTCCTGCAAGACGCTTCGGGTATTTGTTATGGAGCAAAATGAAAGACATCCTCGACCTGTTGACAGATGACAGGATTGTTAACTATGGCTTAGTGGCCATTAGCTGTGTACTTCTGTTCAATTTGTTTGTATGGGGGTAAGTTGAAAACACATAAATGTAAGTCATCAAGTCTGTACACAATATGCTAGGATCGGCTAGGCTTTTAAAAAATCATTTCAACTATACCTGCCATTTTCTTAATTTATTTACTTACTTATATGGTATGTATTCTTTGTTTTATGAACTGGAATAAAACTATTATAATATAATATAATATAATATGATCATTATAATTCTGTTATTTATATATTACAATTTATTATTTATAAATACGTACAAGTTTATGTACATTGGAATATAAATCACATAAGTTATTACTTATTACTTAAATATCAAATATTGCATCTACTGTAAACTCTACATTATATGCATTTACTGCTTTACTTCTTCTAAAAATGTATGGTTAATTTATTTAAATGTTTGTCTAAGATAGTTTCCGATAGTTTCCAAAAAAAATTTTTTTTTCCTCCGACCCATTTGCAACATTTCAAATTTGGATTCAGCACAATCAATATTGTGTTGGCTTTAATATAAGAGTGAACTGACTTATTATTAAGAACATCATAATATGTGTTTTTATCTTGGCCTTTTTTTACAATATTGATGTTTTTATGCATATTGTTGTAAGTATATAAAAATATACTAAAATTAATAGAAAAATTAAAATATCTTAAAACAAAAAACTTAAAAACACAGATAATGATCTTAACTTTGTGATCCCATTTGTCTAGTATTTACGTGAAGCTTCCTGGTGGTCGATGCCCTGACAAAAGGTTAAAAATAACATTTTTGTCAAGTATCTTGAATAATCTGTCCTGTATAGGTATACCTACTTTATAATTATTTCTTAAATTAATTTTTTTTCTTATCGTGTAGAATTTTAAAATTTAAATGATAATAAATCTAAATCACAAATCCTTATTTTTTTAATTATATTTGTTTAAGGTAACTTTCGAGTAATTTTAATTTTAATTTGAAATAATTCTTAATATTTTTTATAGGTATTATTGAATTTTTTTATTCAAAGTGAATAAAAAAAAAAAAAAAATGTTACATTGAGGCCAAATGTAATTTTATTTTCAAATGTTAACTTATAGTCTGTATAAGAAATATAGCATATTTCATTTTGTAATAGGTACCTATGTTAATTCTTAATATCTAATATTTCAATAATTTTTCAGGTACCTACAAAAAATGTTTGTAAATTTAAACAGTAAAACAACTTGAGTATGACTTTTGAATTTTAAAGTACTACGTCCTCACACCCTTCACTTAATTAATATCTGTGTAAATTACAATATTATAGGTATGATTTAAAATGTCCTATGTTCAAAAAAAAAATTAATCTGGGACCCTATCTTAACTTTGAGATTGATAATAGATCAATTCACTCTGATATTAAATCTAACAATACAAGATTAGTTCTGCTAAACACATATTTGCTATTTTAACTGTAAATTAAAATTCTTTGTTTTCTTATAAATGAACATATGTACACAGTGGCGCCAAAGTTTTTAAAATGTGATCCGGCAATTTCAAACTCTGTGGCCTCAATACCTTAATTATCTAATATAGAGGTACCCTAATATATATTTATTTATAATCATGGCCTAAATGTACCCATGCTCATAATAAAGTATCAAATAAGGTGTCGGACCATGGCCCGAAGTTAGCATGGACTTCGGCGCCACTGTGTGTACAATGTAATAAATTAGAGTACTATAGATTTAGATTGACAGTTAAAGTTAATAAAATAACAATAATTAAAAAATTGATATGGAGGTATACATTTCATTTAATTCTAAAATATAGGTAGGTATTGAATGCAAATCAGCATAATTAATTTAGTCATGTTTAATTTAAAAATTGTATGTTAGAAACTTCTTTAAGAATTATGGACTAGATGTATTTAGAAGAACAAGGAAAGTTTTTACCTTCTTACCAACAATAATACATTAGAATTTGGTAGTCAAACTCATTTTTATCGTCATAAACGTATAAATCTAAAAATCTCCAATAAGAATAGGTACCAACTACTCTAAGATTTGCAATATTTTTTAGTACAACAGGTTTTTCCACTCTAACTTGAAGATAGACAAATGGTTACAAATTATTTACTTAACCAACTAATATAATATTATAGTTTTAAGTGGGCTAGTGTGGTGTGGATATTGGCTGTAGTTACTATGTGTGCTGTGGTCAAGTATCGCGTTCAGTGTTATGGCTGCCGCCTGCCGGATGGAGGGACTCCTGGGTTCTTGGCGACAAATCCTTACTTCATATAAAAATATGAGATTATGGGGAAATAGTGGAGCATTTTTACTAGTGTTATTCATACTGCTCAAAAACTTAATCAAACCATAAAATTCTGACTACCTAGTTTAAGAATAAAGTATAAACTTCTACTATTATAAGTAGTCAAACTATTTTAATAAATATTATAAGTACATTGATTGCTAATATTATAAAACCATATAATTTTTACAAAACTTGATTTATATATAACATTTTATTTTTATTTTGTCTAGATGTTTGAGTTTCATCATTGTTATTATTGCGATAGCTTGTGGATATTACATGTTTGATTATGCCCTTAAGTAAGTTTAATTTATACTATATATTTTGCTAACAATACTTGCAACTATGTATGATATATAAAAACGTATTAATACATTTTAGAATATTGCTTAAAATTGTATTTATTTTTACAGAAACCAAAATTTAAATACCACCTTTGGATCAGATAATATATCTGATAAGACTAAAATATATAAGTGTAATAATTGCAAAAACTGTATTTCATGTGAGATACATTTAAAATGTCTAAATCAAGATACACCGTGGAAAGGATTGTTAATACCGGAACAAATTGATTCTTCAATAGATAAAGTAAAATTTATTGTACAATAAATAATTTTAAATTGAATACTCTTTATTATTATTTTTTAGTTATTATCAAAAATCATAAAGGTATATATAGAAAATTGGTATGATAATATTTCAAATGATCCACATTTTATAAAGGAAATTAAGCAAGTTATACGATTTGCAACAAGTGTATTGCTTAAAAGATTTTTACAAGTGAGTATAATAGTTATAGATAATATTCGTATTAAGGGGGCTCCAATCAATGAAAAAAAAGTGACTTTTAGACCAATAAGCTAGACAAAACTGGAGAAATTTGATGTGACGGATTTTATTTTTGAAAACTGATCATGATTGATTTACAAGTTTACTAGGTTATGCCAGAGTCGATTTTGAATATTTATTTTTTGAGCTGTGAAATCCGAAAATAAAAAATATTATATTTTTGTTTATAGTATTCATCATGACACTAACAATAATTGGAATATTAAAAATTGTCTCTGGCATAACCTAGTAAACTTGTTAATCAATCATAATCCGTTTTCAAAATTAAAATCCGTCACACCAAATTTCTCTAATTTTGTCTAGCTTATTGGTCTAAAATTGAAAAAAGTTGATCATAATTTAAAATCTCCATCAATGACTGCGAGTACGTAAGTTAATTGCCGACGAATATAAATAACGACCCATATACCGGGCGGTACTATGCGGGCCTAGTGTTATAATTCAGAACATTTATAGGAAATATTGACCGAAAACGATTACAGATTAAACTCACACATAATAATGTTTATTTACTTTGCACACACTTACAAGTCATTTTAATGTTCTCGTGTTAAATTTCCTATATTAATTTCCTTAAAACACGACTATCTGGACCCCCTTAAATCAGTTTTTAAATAGATAAATGTAATACTAATTTATTGTCATGAACAAATTATTTACTTTTTATATAATATTTCAGTTGGATTTAGAAGATATTGTGCTGTATAAAGTAATTCCAATATGTTTATCCCATATAAGGGACTGCCAAAGAATGGAAAAGGGTGAAACAATTGCATATCATTATGCCATCAGTAATCGTAAAGTTGAGATTATGTACCTTAAAAAAGTATCTTCAAGTTTACTGCCATTCATAATACGACAAACTGATCTTCAATGCACGTATGAATATAATTCATATTATTATATTATATTTAAATAAAATCTGTTTTATATAAAATAACATTAATTGTTCCATAACTGACTGACTACATTTGGTTTACAGGATATTTTATACTTTAGTTCGAGAACTTCTTTCACTTTGGGTATTATTACCAATATCTGATGTAATATGTAACCCAACCAACATTGCTTTAACTTGGTCAAAATTATCCAAATCATCAATTATTTCAACAACTGCGACATGTAAAGATAAACAAGTTGAATTTTTATCAAAGTTTATAGCTGAAAATCAAAATGATCCTGTACAACTTGAAATGCGTAGTATATTTAAAGATTCAACTATTTTATCTGCATTTACAGCTTTTTTGAAACGAAAAGGTGCTGTGCATTTGTTACAATTCTGTTTAGATGTTGATCAGTTTAACAAGCGCATGTTAAAACCGGAAATATCATCTCAAGAACTTGACATGCTTTATAGAGATGCTTGGGATATATTTTCTGTATATTTTAGTTCCCATTCACCAGATTGCATAAGTTTCGATCCTGAGTTAGTAAGTCAACTAAGAAAAGTTTTATCCAAAGATGTTATTAAACTTCAAAATTCAAAACCACTATATCAAGCCTACGAACAAACATATTCTATCTTACAAAATAGTTACTGGATAGAGTTTCATAATTCTGATGAATATTTTTCTTGGATATGTGGACCACGTAATATTCCAGAGGCTGGTTCGTCCCAAGAACCGTCAAATAATGAAAAAAAAAATCATGCTTCTAAGCTCAGTCGTAAATTAAATAGGATTAAAGGAGCTATGAAGTCAAGTACTATATATGATGGTCAATTTGATTCTTTATCTTCTGAATGTGATCCAGAGTTTGGAGAAGATCTATCTGTGGATAGTGAAATCATTAATTTTGAAAGAGATTTAAGCACTTGGAAGGTAACTGATGTTACATCAGCTATGAAGTTAGAATCTGGATCCAACGGTGGTCAATCATTGGTATTTTTTATTACAGTAGAGACAGTTAAAAATGATTTAATCAAACAATGGTGTGTAGAAAGAAGACTTGCTGACTTTTACACATTAAAATCAAAACTAACTGAATTTCATGGAGTATTTGTGGATGCTCGATTACCTTCAAGAAGAATTTTATTACAAAAAACAGAAAATAATGACATATATATGCAGTTTCTCAATCAACTATTACAGAAACCTGAGCTTAAGGGATCGGATTTATTGCATATGTTTTTAACGTCTATAGACAATTTTGAAGATTCTGAATCAGCCATTGGGAGATTGTTAAGGAAATCTATGCCAATGGCTTTGAGAAAAGAACGTGGACAAAATTTAGAATCGTTCATTTCTATTTTTATGGCTTCAGTTGAAACTAAATTAAAACAAAGGTATAAACAAAATATAATACTGGTACCTAACTATCAGTTTATTCTTATATAGTTACTATATTATAGGATTAATAAATAGATACTAATGATACTGAATATTTCATGATACATATATTTTGAATTATAGGTATGAATGGAAAGATTTAAGTGAACATCCTCCTGAAAGGAAATTTAAAATTGCTGAAAATCCTATTTTTGGTAATAACTTAAATATAATTAAAGATGAAAACCAAACAAGGTTAGAAGAAATATCAGAACAAATACAATTTTCCTACACCCCAATTAATTGTATCATTTTTTTTGGAGTACATGTATACAATATGTCAAATGTTGTTGTCCGATTAATTTTGGCTGTACAATCAATATGTGGTAATATTGTTGATTCTATTATACAGCGCTACATCAGTCTTCGTATTGTAAGATCAATTACCCCCTCTAAAATTTCAAACTTAATCGAACTATTAGAAAGTATGTAGAAGTTTTTTAATGCATAGACATTTATAAATTAATTATTATTTTTATTCTTATAGATCTTCTATTTCCCGGTGATGATGCACCACAAAAGACTGATCATCAAATTTCAGTTGAACATTTAAAACTATTGAATAATTCAGTTTTTTTTCCACTGTATATGTGTTTGTATCAATGTACACAAAATTCAGTGATGAATAAACAATTATTCTACAGACTTTTAGATGTTTTCCTCGCAGAAATGTTTCCAGAACTACGAACACAACTTAACGAACAATTATGATGATAAAACTTCATTGCTGTGATAATATTGAGTGATACATTCCTTAATGTCAAAATAAGGTATATAATTTATTTGCTTTATAGTTGTTTAATAGTTTTAAAAGGTTAATTACTTCAATTTTCCATGCTTGTTTGACTAAATTATTGTTATTTTGATTTATTTATCATTTCATGTATAGAATATTTTTAAACTAAATTAGAAGTAAAAGTTTTATTACACTGACGAAAAATTGATAATACAATTTGACAGAGTAATTCATCTAATCTTTGAATGATTATTATTATTATTGATTACAAAACATGTATTATTAAAATAATATTACCATTTGTGCATACTATACTTGTATATTTAAAGATAAAATTATCAATCATAAAACATACATTTAACATTACTTTAAGTTTTTTTAAAAAACTAAACCTTATAATTTATAAGTCATAAATAATGTACAAAATTAATTCAGCAATTTGTTGTGATTTTTTTATTTCAATATTATAAAAATGCAATTTTAAATTGAATAACACAGTAGTCGGTAGATTTAAATAAATCTCACATAGTGTCACTTTAAAATCCATTTTATAGAAAATTAATTTAAATTAGCGTTGTCAAATATATATTTAAATATGTGTATACATAAATATTTAATTTTAGTCAGACAAATCATTACTTAATCATTGTTATCATTATAAATTAATATCAATAGCTTATAAACATTATCCATGTAGGTTCATATATAATTATATATACATGAATAGATTGTTAAAAATATGTTATAAATATTATAAGAATATATTAAAACTAATACCAACATTTTAATTATAAATGCTAACATATTAATTTTCTGAATTAATTTCAAAATAATATTTGTTAATACATTTAAGTGAATATCAATATTTATGTTGTATCTTTCCTAAACAAATTATGAAGTCGTTGCATAGGTATTTGCCCAAAACTGTTTGTTGAATCATTAATGTTTAAAAAACTATCAACATAAAGGAAACAATATGTCAGAAACGCAATAAGATAATTTCTTAAGAAAAAAACTTATTAGTTATACTGTTTGAAATTAGTTGTATTATACCTCAAAAAGTCTTAAGTCATATAACACAAAAATAGGTACATTAAAATGCTGTTTCTAAACAATTAAAAATATTATAATGTTAATGATAATTTTTAATTAAGTTAATTTTAGTATCTATAGTTTTAAAATATTTAAAATATTTTAAAATGTACCAAAGACGTTTTCAGCAGTTAATTATTATTTAGATACAAATGTTCCTAAACTTAAAAACATTTATTCAAATATGGCTTTAAAAACATTATACTTATAATTAATAACCTTATTAACTAATATATAATAGAATTTATCACTAGAATAAATATTTTTATTAGATAATGGCATGATGTTATAGTTTTGTTTTTGACAGATAATAGATTTATTTTTTATAAAATAGTATTTTGAAATAATAATCCAGCCTATGATGTAATTATTATGTAAACAAGTAAATTATACCTCAATATGCTTAAAGTGGTTGTATTATTTAAGAATACTTATTATATTAGAATTATTTAAAATTGTTAATATTATATTTTACTTGGATACTTGCAAGTTTCTGATACAAAAACAAAAAAACTTGGTTGATTTTAGTACCGAAACACAAACTATTCAAAACGTATTAGACTGTAACTAAATAATTTTAATTTGAACAAAATAAGTACGTAATAATAATGGTTGTAACTTGCAGTATATTATAATTTCAACTGTATTGCTTTGTAACTTTAAAAAGTCAGATTTAATTGAAAAAATAATTTATGCTATTTAAGTATCTTTATTGTTTTTCAGTTCAGGTACAGTTTTAAAACTGTGATTAGTCCTCGCAGCTTGTTACACAAACCGTACCTTTAGTCAAATTTTTGTCTTGAATAATTTTAGAAAATATTATACATTCATACTAATATACATTATATATTCTGTTATAAGAAAAAATAATATACTATTACACAATATTAACTTATTTTTAGAAAATAAACTTAACCAGTAAAACATAAATAATTATTAATATATTTTTTTATTGCTCACAATAATATTACTATGATGTGCATTATTGAATAAAATATCTTTAAGTATTTCTTACACAAATAAACCATAATTTTGGACATATCTAAAATATAAACTACATAAATATATGTTTAAATATTCTATTAAGTAAATTATAAAAATAATAACTTGTTTTATAAATTGTGAACAAAAATTAAGTATAATTAAAGCATTTACAATTTATACAATATATACATTGCGAGTTTATACCCAATTAAACTACTTCAAAGCCTACTGAACAGCATAGGGGACATATTTAGAATGAGTGGTAGAAATTTCAATATTCCCATTTCCCAAATTAAATCTATATTTTAACCTGGGTTCAGGCCACATTACTTGCCCCAAAAAGTCAACCAAATTTCCACCTATGCTCAACAGTTGTCTTAAAATATGTGATTAATCATCTTGCAATTAAAATATGTTGCTATAAATCTTAGTGGTTCCGAAGCACAGTCATCTAATTAATTGCTAATAATTAAATTTTTACAATATTTTATAAGTAACCAAATAATTGATTATTAAATCAATAAATATTTAATATTCAACTGAATAGTGTTTACATAATAAAGCATATTTATTAAACTAATGTAAAATTGGTTAAAATTATTTTTACCTAGTATTAGCTATATGCATATTTAATGATATATACATATTTATTGAGTATATTTAAAATTGTTGTTTAGACTTGTAACTGAAAACTAAAAAGACACTAATATTTAAGGATTTATTATTTATTTATTTATTTTGTTAGTTAAAAATGTAGGTATAATGTATACATTTGTATCAAGTATTCATTACATAATATTTTATCATTTTGCATATTATATTAAATTTTTTGTTATATCATTGTTTTAATTTTGTCTACCCCTAAATTATAAATAGCTATATATAGCATTATTATTTTAAATTTAAATAAAATTTGTCAATTTAATTTGATAATTCAAGTCAGCAAATACGTCAATTATAGCTTGTATTAATTATTTTTATTAAATACATAGTTGGGTATATTATAATATATACAGTTTTCTTGCATTTCAAAATGATAATTCTTGAAAATGTTTATACCTTTACTAATTTAATTAAAATTGTTTATGTTGATGAAAACCTGATTCGTACACATTTTTTTCAAAAATCTTACAATCTTAGAATATCAACCAATTTAATTTTGACTATCTCTAAGATCTTAAGAACAAAATAATGTCTTAATTTATCGGTCTTGACTCAACTTGAAATTTTGTTGTCATAATTACAATTTTGGGGCCAGCAATACTTTGAATTATTTTTAGTTTTATTGTTCTATTTAATCTATTCTAAGTATAATAACTTTTTACCTCTGATCCAGTAACTCTTAAAACAAAATATTTCAGCTTTGTGATACTATTAGTTTGTCATTTTTCCCTTTTTTATAATGACTGTATACTATAACTGTCTGAAACTGTTAAGGTTCATACACCTAAGCTGAAATCAATAATATTTATTTTGCTCTATGATTTTATTATCCTTATAAAACTATTAAAGACTCGAATTAATCTTATACCTAAATAAATAAAAATTCACTAATATCTTTTTCATATTTGGATCATTGCTCAACGTGTAAAAATGTCAAAAACTGAACTAAGTACCTACATTTAAAAAGTATGAGTAGTCTATAATTACGTATTAAAAAAAAAAAAAAAAATTTCCATTATCAGTTTTAACTAAAGTATAATCTGACATCTAATGTTGTTTTTCACAGTATTCATCCATATTATGTGTATTTACTATTTATATTTCCTTACTACTGTGAAACTCTAAAAATAATGGTTTAATTGACTTAATATTTTGTTCTACCATTTCTATCCATACAGTAAAATTATTTTTCAAAAATTTCATAAGATACCTACTATAAATTCAACCCGTCTTATGTTTCACTGCAGCAATATATAATTAAATTTTTTTTTAATTTCTTATATTGTTAAGAATTTTATTAAAATATTTTTTAAATGAGTGCATAATTCAAAACTATATTAATATGTCTAAAACATTTAATTGAATTAATTTATCTATCCACGATTATAATAAGATACAAAGAACTAATTGACAAAATATTGTTGTACGAGTTAGGTACATGAACTTAAACAAATTATGACTATGTATATAATAACTACCAACTTAATTTGATCAAAATTAATTGAACTTACAAGTAATGTTTACTATGACATTATAAAGACCAGATCAAATCGGTGATAAAGAATTTTTTCAATATGCTATTATTTAGCCTTACCTAAATGTTTTTAAATATTAATGCTTTTTTGTATCTATTTAATTTAATGACAGCATTAATATTGTCTATGCACAATCATTACTATAAACTTAATATTCTAGTAACTTTATTAAATGTTTACAAAATTAATTTGAGAAAAAAAAATAATATATATTTACCCAGACTAAAAATAAAAATCTTTGGATTTTTGTGTTTATTAAATTATTATGAACACAATGTCAAGATATATATATAAACAGTTTAATTCCGATGTTTTCATAATCATAAATCAAATACCAACTCAAATGTAATTAAATGCTATGTTAAAGTCTATCCAACAATCCATTCAAAATAATCGTTCAAGCTTTAATGTTTTAATTTATTTTCCACATAAAAGTTAAAATTTTACTACTGATTTATTATTTTTGTTTGTGGTAATTTAATGCTGTTAATCATACACTTATGTAAATCAATAACAGAAATAAATTATAATATTAAAATTAAAACTGTAATTATGTATGTTTTAATATTTTCATTTAATTTCTGCATTAAGAAATATTATAATTAATTCTTGTATTATTATTTATTTCTTATTATGTATATGTTACACATGCTATCCATATAATATGTTAATATTATGGAAACGACTACGATTAAGTATTATAATTTATAAGTTAAATAATATTATATTGTATATTGGGCTATTCGATAATAATACATAATATATATATTATATGAATGTAAAACATGTACAACTCATAGTTACCATTTCGAAACAACATTTATAATGTATATTAATTTTGTAGATTTAATGCCAAACAAACCCATTATAATAATATAGGCCCAAGTGATATAATATTCTATATTTATAATAACATATACATATTATGTAACAAACTGTAAGCAAATAAACTTAATATATAATATATATATACATAATATGATGTGCTGTAATATTATGGCACATTAATTTTACTTACCTATTTCGATTCTCTTAATTTAATATAATATTAGGTTTTATTTTAGGTGCCAGAAGTAACCTCTATGCAAAAGAGCTTGCATAGTACTTATTGTATTAGTACAATATAGTTAGTACAGTTAAATCTAAACATTCGATAATTTGTAATATTTTTATTTATAATTTAATCTATACAACTGTACAAGTATAGGTAACAAATTTTTTTTTCCTAGAGTAAAATTACTTTAATATATACTTGTCAAAATGATTGAATTATGTTTTAGTTAGGTATGTTTCACTGGTTAGTGTATTTAGAACGTAGGTACCTATATGTTATCGGTTGTACGTTGATGTACAATCTTTGGATTTTTATAATCTATGTTAATATTTTTTTAAATTGTCTATTAAAAAATTTGTGGATGATATACTACGAACTATAGTAGATTCCTACCTACAAGATTATGAAATATTTAGGTATCATTACAAAATATTACACGTATAAAACATATCGGCCAGCATCAATCAACTTCTGATTACTGTAATATAATATAGAATAATATGTACATTGTACATTGTACAACAAACAAGTCTTAAAGTAATTTTACTTGCCGAAAAATTCTAAAAACGATTTGATAACCTCCATATTAGGTACCTAAAATAAACATATAAAGGGCGTCCTTTGCCCCGATATGATATTCAACCGTTAGCGCTATAATCATCGTCGTTGCCCTTTGCTCGATAATCGGTTTTACCACCCGTCTTGGACAAGAGCTTGACGTGCTCGATGACCATGTCCCGGCTGACAGCTTTGCACATGTCGTAAACCGTGAGTGCTGCCACTGAGCACGCCGTCAGGCACTCCATCTCGACACCCGTCCGGTCGGTGCTGACGGCCGTGGCTGTTATGTGGACGCGACAGCGGAGCTCGTCTAGCCGGGCGTCCACCGTCACCGAGTCCAACCGGATCTGGTGGCACAGCGGTATCAGTTGCCACGTGGCCTTAGCCGCGCATATTCCCGCCAGCCTGGCCACGGACAACACGTCACCCTTTTTGCACGCGTCCTCGGCAATTAGCCGGGTGGCCGTCGCGTCCAACCGGACCTGAGCCACCGCCGTGGCCGTCCTCCGAGTTTCGCGTTTTCCCGAAACGTCCACCATGCGCGCGTCCCCCGACCGCCCGTCTACGTGCGTCAGGCGTGGCTGGTCGTCACCGCCGCCGCTGCCGCTACCCGTCCAAATGTTTCTAGCGTGATGGCCGACGATGGACGCCTTACTAACGTTTCTGGCGAGACGTCCCCCGCTGATCACGGTGGCCACCGATTTTGTCCGGTCAGCGACTGTAACACGAAAATAAAACAGAAAAAAAATCTTTGATAGACAAGTTTTCTATTACCTATACAGCGGCGTCATGTGGGTTCAGTAAAAAAAAAAAAAAAATTATAATTTGACTCAATATTCCGAAAATAAACCTACAAAACTATCTCTATAGGTATATTTTTTTTATATAACTTAGGGATGGGCAATTCCCCCGAACAGAATATGACGGGAACGTGTGACGATTCACGAGATTGATACAGAAAATATGAGGAAACGAATTATAGTTTACGCATCATAATGCTAAATTTAAATTTTAAATAACAATTATACCTACTGTTAAAAATATAAAAACAAAAAATTAGGCTTCAATCAGTGCTGGTAAAATTATTTGTTATATGGAGGGATGAGACTGATTTTTAACATTCACTTATTTATTACCATTAAAACATAATTTAGGGCTGTAATATGTCAATGTAGGTATTGATTAGAAATATAAACGAAAAATAAATTAATAAGTAATAACTAATAACTATTATACCTAAATTAGTTCCTCAGTTTTTTTTTTTTTTTGTCTGTCCATTTATAATACTTCACTTCAGGTTATACATAGTTATAACTACCTGATGAACAGCCATCATAGCGAAGCCATGGATTAGACAAAATAACTATACACAATATAATATAATATATTACACATATCAAAGTTTTAAAATAATATTTTAAACGTATTTTTAATTTAGCTATAAAAGAAATCAGAAAAAACCTTAAAGGTATTCTTTATACTTTAAATGATAATATAAATGTCTTATGTTTGAACTATTAAATTAATAATTATATTAGTTATACAAATATGTATTTTCTTTTAACCTAAAGCGAGTTTTATAAAATATAAGTACAGTATTTACCTTCACCAAAGTTTATTCTTTTTATAATCAATAAAAAAGAACTTTGTTACCTATCAAATGTTGTGAATAAAATGTGTTCACATTTTATCAGTTTTAAAAAAAAAAATATTGTAAATATTTAAAAAAAAAAGGTAATGGGGGGGGATATATTATATATATACTTATATCATATATTCCTCATCAAATTAAAACTGTATATAGGTATTATAAATAAATCACTTTATTGTTTAAAAAGTGTTGAATTTTTTTTCAGTGAATACAAATTGATGATAATAATAATAATAATAATAAAAACAATAATAAAATTAAATGACTATTATCTAAGAGTATTAGAGGTGGATTGGTTGGGGTATACAGGCCAAACGGCAGTGTATTTAAGTATATCTGATCTTCAAAAAGAGGCTCAATGGCTACAAAGGGACTACAAAACGTCAATACAGATGACAAGCCATCCCGCCTCTGAATTGAGTATAAATGAATATTGAAATATAATGAGTACAAGAGTAATCATTTTAGCTAATTACTAACCCGTATCTATACCCTTAAAAATTATGTGAATAATGTAACGTTAATTATGAGTTAGGTATTTTGCCAAATCAATAAAAAAAAATTGTATTTCATATTAGTAGGTACCTACCTAATAGTGCCTTTTATATAGTACATACGGTACCTACCTACTCACTGGCCACTATAGGTACAATACAACAATATGAAATACAAATATTAACGGCTTACTGTAGGCTTATTAGTACACTTATATTTTATTTTTTAGGGAACAACTTAAATTATAATATTCTACAATTTTACTTTAAAGTTTAAATTTAAGAGGACGTGATACCCGTATGCGTTGTCTCTGTCTTACAAATGTACAACATAGTAAAAAACTGTTTTTCGCGGGATAGAACCACTCCTTTGGTATTTATTGTAAAATTACCAAAATTCCACAGCGCATAGAGAACAACTTTATCTGTGTCGTAGTGTTTTTATTTTTTTTATAGCATTTACCCATAGTTTTTAATAATTAAATGAAAAAAGCAAAAAAAATCCTAAAGCTCTTAAACTGATAACTTTAATTTTATTTATGTTATCCAAATAATAAAAACGCTACGCCACAGATAAAGTTGTTCCCTATGCGTTGTGGAATTTTGGTTATTCTACTATAAATACCAAATGAGTGGTTCTATCCCGCGAAAAACAGTTTTTTACTATGTTGTACATTTGTAAGACAGAGACAACGCATACGGGTATCACGTCCTCTTAACCATGGTATTATAATTATAAAGTTATAATATGTGCTTCCATCTTTACAATGTTTGTATCCATGATAAGAACAGATTGTGTTATTTTTAATTGGTGGCAGCCCGTAACTAATAAGTAGGTACCTATCAGCTTCTTGTCTTATTAATTGTAAAATACATATAAACAGTCGGTACATAACATTTGGTAGGTATTTATTGAACAACAAACCAATACTCAATGCCATATTACTTTTTACTGTGGAACCTAATTCAGTATTTGTATAGTACCTAATAATTACTAATTAATATAGTAGGTACTTACTAGAAATAATCATAGTCGTATTTAGAAATTTGCCGCACAAGACAACAAATAAAACCCCCAATAATCCAAAAAACAAATTTATTAGTTTTAAGAAATAATTGTTATATCAAAACTAACTTAGGTTGAAAACCTATAGTTTAATTATTTTGTGTAACAAAAAATTACAATTTAATTTTCTTACTGGATTTTGACTCCGAAAATGCTTTAATTATTTCATGATTGATGGTGGAGGTTAGATCACTTTTGATGTTATATAAATAAATGTTAAATATGATAAATGGTTTTTATTCTAATATACCTAATAGGTAGGTATTATTATAAATTATAGGTATAGGTAATAAATTATAAATTTAAAAACACACCTAATATTAATTGTATATAGGAAATAATCCAATGGAGTTATAAGAAAATTAAAACAATGATAATTTAAAAAAAAATTATCAACCTGCTAGGTACCGAATAAATATTCTTAACAAATTTTTACCAATTTAAATCGAACCAGAAATAGTTGGCTGGTAATATTTCTCGTTTCAGCGTTTTATTGTATATTATGATATATTGTTAAGTACCTACCTATTGCAATAATATTTTTTAACGACGACTGCAACTGCGAATATTTTATGCCAACCCTTAATTATATGCTGCGTAATATTATTACTCATCACTGTTTATAGGCTTAATCTGGCGTACATTTTTTGGGGGGGAGGTGGCAAACTATGGTAAAACTAAAAATTATAAGGTAAAATTACACTGTTGCCCACCCAGTTGAACATCTGAGGGGGCAGTTGCCTCCCCTCTAGATCACGTCTATACATCACTGAACAGGATCGTTGGCTCCAAAGATGATTGTGAAAGTTGGTTTTAAAATTTTGATTAGGCTCAAGTTATTTGTACTTTAGTTCAACGACGAGTTATACCTAGTGATTTTAATTATTTGATTAAGTGCATTATTTTATCATAAGGACCTAGTTAAATGGTGTTCATGAACAATTTGACATTATAACATTATGTCCAATTTCCGATATATTAAGCATTACACCTATAGGTATATATTATAATATATAATATATAATATATATTATAATGAATTGCAAAAAATCCGTTGAGACCAACCCGTTGCAACCGTTGTAAAACCAATATTCAATAGGTATTTGATTTACTAAATAAAAAAATACTATCATTCATCCGAGTCTATATATAAACAGTTATTTGGTATTTATTTTCGAACATAAAAGTTTAATATAGTACGTAAGTCTTAAAAATTAAAAATATTAATTTAAAATGGTGGATAACATAATAATAATTATTAACGATTAAATGAAAAATTATTTAAATACAAACATTGCAGTAAAATTATGTACTTAGGTAATAATCCTATCTCCCTTCCTGTTTACAAGGAGATTGAGTACACTTCTGGCCAAAACGTACCACGGTAACTGGTAAGTATAGGTATAATAAGGTTCTCAAATATTTGTCTTAGTAGGCGGGTATTATAATGTTATGTGATGTAAGCGTTGTCGGATTTACTCATCCGCCGATCAAAATCATTGGACGATTCGGCATACGAGGAAGATTTTCCATTCCTAAAACATTGTTATATTCAATTATTAAGCGTTATATTATAATATATTTTTTGCAAGGCAGCGAGTCGAGTTGTTATTCACCAATACCAGGATACAAATTGTTAATAATTATAAATACGTTTACAAAGAAACCATTATTGGTAGACACATAAGACAAATAATATCCAGATAGGTGTTGATTTTACGAAAAAAAACATTTACTTATTTTCATTTCGAGGTTAGATAAATACAGGTATTTTATTTCATATTTACGACTTTAAATGTTAGAATTTATGGTTTTGTGTTGTCACTATAGGTATCTAGAATATAGTATATAATGGTAATACAATTGCAACGAAAAAAAATATGTACCTATAGGTACCCATTTAAATATTTTTTAACATTTGTACGTATGAATATAGACATACAAATTACAAATATTTGTAAAGAGATACCAGCTAAGTACTATACTGTAACTATCGAATTCCATACACGTGTCAGTTGTCTCTACAAAAAAATGTTTCATAAAAACACTTTATACTATGATATTAAATAATAATATTCATTGTACCTATACTTAAATCAACAAAAAAAAATTCAGAATTTATTTTAAAAAATTGTTATTAGTTGATAGGTATAGGTAATGCATTTTTGATTAACTCTTTATTACTATATTTTATATGTACACAATAAACTATACATCTACTTTAACTACAACTATACATATTTTATGTTTTAGCCAATATTGTTAACTATATACGATGCCTACCTACACTTCTTAGATCTTATAGTGCTATATCTTCAGAGTTATTCGTTAGAACTTCTAGATTGCAACAGTTGCAAAAATATACGCATTATGTATATTGTGCATCAGTTATAAAGAATACAATAGGTAGATAAAACTATATGAATTGACTAGTAAAACCGAATTAAGTGCTGAATTAGTAGCTAGCGATAACGGCCAGATGTCAACATCGGCAGAAAATAATGACTACTGTTTGCTTAACAATGTATTCACATTATTTAACATTATCTTCTTTGACATACATGCGCCAGTGCGGCGCCAATGAATTGTGGGAGCCCGTGCAAAATTCCATGGGCCCTATAAATTTTTTTTAGAATAGGTTTGATAATATGCTGAAAATCTCAATATTATAGTTGGGAAATATTATAAAAGCAAATTTCAAAATTAAAAGTATATTTAATATTATAACAAAGATTTTATTGTCCGTGTCTCATTGGTATTATGCAGATGTTACAAAATAACGATGACAATAACATTTCATTTTTATACTTTATATTTTGATCTCGATATATTATATTATTGTAAAATTCTATTCAGAATTATAAGGACATCGCACTTTTATAATAATGCTAATGAATATCGGTATAGGTATTGCTATTATTAATATATTAAATCATTTTTAAGAATATTAAATTATTAATTATAACAATAAACAAATAGTTAAATAGGTACCTAATCAATATTTTTAATAAGGGTAGTATTATGTATTATGACATAGGTACCTACTATTTTACTACTTTTTTCCACAAGGTATGCATTTATCTATTTTTTTGGTAAGATAAAGTTAAGCATGTTTTTGGTGTTGGGCATATTTAATATATTACTAAAAAACTTTATTAAATCTATAACACAATATTTTTAAACATTATCTGCAAAATATATCAATGTGTTTTGAATGTGCGAACCTTATTACAAACTATCTTTTCTACAAGTAACAATTACTATTATGATTGATTTTTGGAAGTGACGCACTGACGCATATGTTACACCTTTTTTTTGATTTGTTTTCGACATAAACTATATAGGTACTCCCCATTATTTCAGTAAGTACAATATTTACGTGATATTTTGCAGATATATAATGTTTAAAAAATAATAATTGTGTAAAAAATAATTTATTTCTACAGAATTGAACGTGATTAATCATCATACAGAGATGGATTATAATAAAATATAATTTACGATTCATCACCGCTAAAAATTACGGAGTAGGTAAAAATTGCGTTCTCACAAGAAAAGTCATATTCATTACAATATTACCTACTACCTACATAAATTGTGGTTCGCGTGTTTATGAAACGTACGTATAATTTTTTTCCTGGTACAATTTACAAACCATGCAAATAGTAGTAGAAATATTAGTTTGAAAAGTCAGGGAAAATCATGGGAAAATAAGAACTAAAAAATTGCAAGCAAAAATAATTATTTGCTTAGACTTTGTGTGGTAATTATCGTACAAATGTTTACCAGTAATTTAATTACACATTTTTCAAACATAAACAGAAAAATTAATAATTTGCACCATACCGATATTAATACAATTTTGTTGCCAGTCTGAAAAATGGGAAGGAAAATGTTGATATTTCAAAAATATTACTAGACGTCATTTAAGTATGAATAAAAATTTTTAGGCCACAATTTTGTCATGAACAATTAAAAATGAGACGTAATTTACATTGACATGAAAATTACTAATCTACGTCCCACCTAACTTCTGGTGTTCTATATAACATAGGTAGGTAGGTACTGCACAATATAAATTATAATGAGTGCGATAAATTGTATATGATTTGGATTTGGATATATTGGTGTATCCTGTATGAAACTAAAATATGTATATATACCTTATAATTACCTAGGTACACCGTGTCTATATATACATATTTTTAGATCCTTACAAATCAACAATAATTTCGGCAGCCACGCTATATGTCTATATCACAATAAATTGTATACAGGTATATTAACGTAATAATGTTCCAAAATCATCATTTTAGGTATATAAATCAAAACATTTTCGAAAATGTTATGATATATTAATTGAATTGTACTAATTAGTGAAAATGTCATATTTTCACTATAGGTAGGTACAAAATGCATTAATTTAACATTTATGTCATACCTACATATACGTTGGCCATTGAAAGTGAAATTAAATCAATTTTAAAATTAACGCGCTGCTCGTTCTTCCAGCTCAAACTACCGATCCACCCTGATAATTATTTTAGTGAATTCAAAAGTATAAAATTACCAGCATGTTTCCGCTTTTTATCTTTCACTGCATTCGATATGATGTCCAATAGTTCTTCATCTGAAGCTCCTTCCCGAAGTGGATCCCTTGACCAAAACAATATTCAAATTATTCAAATGGCATTATGTTTTTATTATCAGCATTTCAATAATGTTTAATATACATAAAATAGATACAGCTGTATACTAGTTTACTATCTCCCAAAAGCCCCGTATCACCGTATGTTTGTGAAACTGTGACACACCATTATACTTAAATGCAGATTTTATAAGGAATTTAATAAGAATTTAAATTTAAGGGCATACATTTCTTATAGAATACTGTTGATAAAACCGTATTTAGATAATATACTGATCAGTCACGGAGATAGTTAAGGTGATATGGGAATTTGAGAACATACTTTTTAAGATCATATAGAATATATATAGTAACATTTTACAAGATAATTTTTTAAGTAGGTAGGTATATTTACCAAATACCTATGCATGTATGCTTAAATTATGATATTATTAATAATATGTATGGATTTAAAACTTTAAGACCTAGGTAGGTATGGTTATATTATTACTTGAGACAAAATATATGTCAGTCACCAATAATAGTAATACATAGGTACTTAAAAGTTAAAATGTTAATTGTTAAGTTAATTTTTTCAATTATTGTATTATTATCTTAGGTACCAAATAAATAAATTCTAAACGGTCTAAACCCAAACATATTTATAATATTATATTCAGATATTCAATTGAACACTACTCTTACTTCTTAGTAGTAGTTATAGTAGATAGGTGCATCAAAGTAAAAGAATAAGTAACTTCTCGTTCAAATTTAAATTTAAATTCTAAATATCAACAAAACAAAATAATTCATCTGATGGACAATCAAATAAATGGTTCTCTTTTGAAGAAAAAAAAGTTTATATCGATACTATAGTTTTAGTTCTTAAATTCCATTCAATCCAAACTTTATACCCGGGGAACTAAAAATAGTTTTAACAGTGTTAAGCGGAACACTTTTGAATAAAAATATAATATAAATAAAATATAGATAGTATAATCGAACTCGTTGTTAAAAACGATTCGCGTTCTAAAGTCACCTCAAACTGATTTCGTTGTTTTGAAACAAGCACGCCTTTAGGTTTCCGTCGGCCATTAATCTGAGTCGGTTACAACTATCGCAGTAATCATCGGTCATTGACGATATAAAGCCAATGCTGCCTGCAAATCCAGGCACCCGATACATCTATGAAAAACAGGGTAATTCGTTACAAAAAAAATTATATTATTTAGGCTGCCTAAAATTATGCATATTGCATATAAATATATTATATACATATTACAATATAGTATAATAGAAGCCGATTTTTACATGACGCCAACAACCCATTTTTAAGGCTTTTGATATAGGCAATTTTAACGACATATTGAGAAAAGCTAACATTATTAATATTATACATTTAAATACTAATTCAAGGTAACTATTACAATATGTAGTCTAGTGCCACTGTACGTTGTCCTTGAAATTATTAATACAAAAAAGTGAGTTTACATTCAAAGATAAATCATTGTGAACGAAAAACCATTTTCTGAGCGGAGACAGTCTATCAGCCACATTTATTAAGTTAGTATATTTTACCATAGTAAAACGTGGTTCCTAGATTGAATGGATTTTTACCAAATACATCACATTTATTATTTTATGAATTTTATTATAATGGTATAATAATATGTAGGCAGGTTAATCATATTATAGTTATTCCTAGGAGCCGCACTCTATAGTTATTCGAAGTTAAATTGCTTAAAATCAATCCAAATATTTTGAAAATTAAGTTTTGTATTATAAAATATAATAATATAGATAAAATTGTCCAGGCCGAAAGAACTACAACAAAATAACTTAAATTGTTACACTTTGTTTCAATATTCAGTTTTGTCAAAATTTGAACTTCAAATGTCTATAAAAATTGTACTTATAAATTATTAAGATTTTTAAATTTCAGTAAAAACAACCTATGAGAAGAACCTTGTATTCAATTTTCAATCCTTAGCTATAAATATGCAAAATTTTATAAATTTTTAACATCAACACAATTTGCAAATTTTCCTATTATTTTGACAAATTGTTTATGTTCAGTCAAAACGTTTGAAAGTTGAATGCATGGTTTTTCATATGTTGTATTATTGTTCAATGTTCTTAATGTAACCTAAAATTCTAAAAATACTAGGTATTCGTGAGCATGTAACTTTTAGGTACATTATTATATTTGATATACATAATACCACATTTAGAAATCCAATGATATCGGAAAAAAAAATAATTTAACCTAACTCAATGATAGAAAAATAATTATTTGAATTGTATATATATATATAAATATATTATAAAAATATAAACTATTATATTATGGACTAATATCTGATTATCTTTGATCAGAATCGTTTTTCGTATGAGTGGTGAGGAGGGGTGTATAGAAATCCTGAATAGGGATTTTCCCAACAGTATAATTAATAATATTAATTCTACAAGACACACATTATTTTATTTTAGGGGTGGGGGTTGGTTGAATCACTAACCAAAGTTAAATATGAAAATATTTTTGATGTTTCAAAGTCTGTGTTAAAAAATAAATAGTTAAAAAATTCATATCATTGTAAAATTAATATTATACTATTCATTACCTTACTCGGAATCTAAAAATTTTTTTGAGATTAAAAAAAAACATGAACATTTTCTACTGCTTATAAAACAATAATAACTATTTTCATACTAATAATGATATCAATAAAATAAAAAATGTTACGACAGATCAAAGTAATATATTGTCTCTGTGCTGGTTTCCTGTATTAGTATATTCTTAACTATGTATTATGACTGTAGCTTGAATGGTTATTTTTCACACAACATGGTTTTTACAAAAAACTGAGTGTGGTGGTGGGTGGCGGGTGTGGTATTATAAAATATATTAGGTAATGTATTGCGTTCTTGTATTTGGTTTTATGATTCAATTAATTATTATACTTAATAAACGTTTACTTTTGAAGTTGAATTCGGCTCGTTATCACATGGCTCAAAATTAGGATATGACTTCAAGATCTCTTGGATTGCTTCTTTATAAGGTACCATTCGCTTTTCTTCCCAATCGTTCATCGAAAACGGCATAAACTCGATAAACCGATAATTGATTTTTCTGTCTCTGGTCATTTCTACGAAATCACCTAATTCATCGAAATTTATTCCTTTCATCAACACGCAGTTCACCTACAGCAAAAAAAACATAAATTTAATAGAATAATATTAATAAAATCAACAACTACCTAAAATCGTTCAACAAGATCTACTTGTTGCTGCTATGCATTAAATTTTCCAAAGAAATATTAAGAATTTAAATACTAAGTGTTTTTGTTAAGCATTTATGTATGATATTATATAATATAATATGTACCTACTATCGAATTCCAAAACAAAAATCGTATAGTTACAACAAAATCTACTAAATTATGCTACTAGTTAAAGAATTCCTATTCAATTTTAAAATCCTTGAGAGAAATACTAGTTTTAGATTCTGAACAGAGCTACATAAGCTCAATACATAATTGATTTTACAATGATGTGTCTTTTTTAAAAAAAAATGTTTGTGTACACAAATACACAATAAGTAATCGAAATAATGCTTTGATTTTCAATTTTTGGGGGAAATAAATTAAGGAAAAACTGAAATTTTTACTCAAAATCTGTTTTTGACCAACACGACTATGGTTTTTGGCTCAACTAAGTTTGTCTACCTTTATCAATGAACAAATTTTTCTCACTATATTTTTTTAAAATTTAATCTGAATATAAAGAAATTAAAATAGGCAATAGCACCACCCTAATGGGTGAAACATTTTACACTAGATCAATTATGTGTAACACTATTTTTTACAATTTTTTGTAATATTTAATAAATATAACAATAATAATTATAATAACCATATACTAATAATAATAATAAAAAATAACATTGTTATACCAGTAAATTATGAATATGATATTTAAAACATTATCAACTGCAGAAAAACTTACTAAAACGCCCCGGTGTCCAAAATCAAGATTACATAAAAAAAACATTAATATAAATATTAATGATATACGATGCTTTATAAATTGATCGTCTCTTATACATCATCTCCTTAACTTACACTCGTGGCATTATTACCGGAATAATTATAAGAATCATTATACATTCAATATTCACACAGTAAAGTATAGGTAAAACCAGTACCTACCTACACACAATAGTTCACACAGTAACACGAAAATCATATGTATTAACATGCCTAAAGTATTTTTTTTAACGAAACATTCCCTAAATGAAATGGAACCTGTTCTACGTGGAAATTAAAATATTTAATTTAAACATTTTATTAATAGTACAACTCGGACGAGCTTATAAAATACCTGTTTTAAAATATATCATTTCATATAACAAATTACAATACGTTTTGTCCACTTATTGTGGTATAGTTGATTTTGTATTGTGTATGCTGTGTTAAATAAAATATAATTTACAATACATAAAATCACGTGTAGAATAAATAAAATCTTAAATTTAAATGAAAAATAAAACTAGGTAATTGAAGACAGTGAAAAGGAAATATTGATAGACGGTAACACTTTATGTTCTGCCCTACGCCTGAAGAATATTGTGATGATTTTTTTTTTTTCATTAAACAAAAGCAAATAAAATAAAACCGAAATCCTATATATAACGTCAATGAGAAAACTATAGAATCAATTGACATGTGAACGAATTTGTAAATGCAAGAGCCACAAATTTACCTATTTCGAGTCCGATAATTATACAGGCATCTGACGGCTGGCTGAAGAGTTTTACGACTCGACACAATATTTGGCATCGAATTATTGGACAGTGTGGTAGACGCCACGAGACACGTGTAAAATAAACATGGAATCAATTACTTATCGAAATGCTAAGGTCTTGTACCCAAAACCTGTGCCGACGACATCTGCATGCAACAGGTCAGTTATTGTTTAACCAAGATGACACGCTGTTATCAGGAAAACTCGAAAAGAGGCATTATTAAAGCGCATAGGGGTCGGGCCCTAAATGTGGGAGGGCTGCAACATAGGCCAGATTGACAGTCCCCTCAATTAGACATTACATTTTAATTTTAATTAAATTTTTTCAGATTATGTTTATAAATCAGGGCTTGCCAATGTTATAATAACGTTATGAATTATATTTCACAAAAAACGATAGCAATTATAAACGGAAAACGATAATCAAATATAATTAAATAATTCAAAACAAAACATAAAATATTTTGAAAATTGTATGGTGTATATAAAAAATGCTGATATAAAATTCAGTGTAAATGTAATGTATATCTACGATAAATTTTTTAAGAGTCTTACCACAAACCAAACTCGATTTTTCCAAAAACAGATCCGTTTTTTTAATTTTTTTTTTTTTTTCAGGCAAAAACACCAAAAAAATACAGATGAAAATTATGCTTAAAGATCACAAAAAAATGTAAAACATCGATTCAATAAAGGTACGTAATATATAAAAAACCAACTACTGTAAGGTGCAAACAACAATAAAAGAGTGTGAAACAAAGTGGAATATTATTCAGTATAAACAGGCAGCATTTACTACATCCAGTCTAATTAATAGGGATCAGTGAAAACATGCTTCTACGACAAATTTCAAGTACGAAAACATAAAATTACAGTATACTATCTATAATTCATTTGTTCGATTTGAAATAATTAAGTACCTGAAACTGAAAAATTAAAATTTCTCTAGAGCGGGTTCACAAAACCACATGTACATTGTAGAGCAACCCTGCTGTATATAGTGTATTTTGAAAAAGAAAGCTTTAATATTTGCCTATAGACATGCAGATCACCAGTCGTCATACATGGGTATGTTATTACTTATTACCTATTATTATTTATAAAAATGGCTATACAATCCTAAAATAATAAAATAAACTTTAGCACAACTTTAATGTGGTAGGTACACTGATACACCATCTTCTCGAACTTCTATTTCTCATATATATATTTAGATAGGTATTACATGTTAATATCAAATGATAATATTATATATTAATATAATTTAACATTATTTCCATATAGATAGGTACCTATTATAGTATTTCACTAAGTATCTGGAATCTGCTCTGTAAATACAATGTGTATTTCGTATTATGCAAATATTAATAATTAAAGGTAAAAGTAAGTATACCTGATTTATACAAAATGTAATTTTATTCACTCCTTGAATGACACGAAAAGCTATCCAAATAGAAAAAAAATGCTCCTATTATCTATATCTATGTAGATAAACGTATACTTTAATATAGTTTAATACGAGCTAAAGGTAATACTCAAAACCCCAATACTTTTATTCTTAGGTATATTAAAACACGCAGTTTCTATGCGTTTAGTACGCCGTACGCTATCTAAAAGGGTTAGGCCGTTATGGGGGTCAAAGAATACTCAGTCTTATACTCATAATATAATATAGTTTATATACACACCTTAACTGGACTGAATCCCAACTGTAATGCCAGATCGATGCCTGCCAACACTCTTTTTAACAATCGACCGTCTCTTCTAGTGATGTTTCCATACGTATTTTCTTGCAACGTGTCTAAACTGACGTTTAGTGCGTTCAACCCAGCTCGTTGGAGGTTCACCAAATGCTTCGTTAGAGTCAATCCATTGGTGGTCATCGCAATCGTTTTGAGTTTTCTAATATCTCTGAGTGATTCTAATACAGAATACCGATTTTAATTGTCGTACGTTACGAATACAATGTCTGATACCTAATAGAAGTTTTAAAAAAGCCGCGAAAAGTCATCATTCTAAAGTTTATCAATGGACGTCCATTCACATATTTAGGTTTAAGGTTCGTTACTGTGGCCCGCGGTCAGATCCCGATATAAGTATAGTCGGAAGTTGTTCATTGATTTTCTAAACCATCTTTATGTAAGTAGCTGAAATTATAAGACATGAAAAACATTCAAAATTTTTAGTATATTTTGGGTGTGATTTTAGATTTAGCTATTTCTTATTACAATTTTTCAAAATTTTAGATTAGGATTTTAATATAGGTGTTAAATAAAAAAAATTTAATTCAGGTATAACATTTGAATAATCAATTCATTTGACAGTAAAAACTAGGTTTCCTCTATGTAACGAATTAATAAATTATTAATTAAACTCAGCTATTTTCTAAAATAGAATATTATACAAATCTAAAATAGAAACAGCTGCTATCGAAATACGACGATTTTCTATAAATACTTTTATAGGAAAATAACTCAATGATTATTGACTATTGTTAATGGCATTTATAGATTTTAGGTATTTCAGGTATATAAATATAACTCGACAGAAGTGCATTTTTTTATTCAAGGAACATTTTTAATTTTTAAAGCGATTTTTTTATTATTTTTTTGTTTAAATTATGATTAGAAAATATAAATAATAATAAATTAATAACTTATATTACTTTGCTTTTTTTTTATTTACAAATTAAAAAAAATATTTGTACAAATGAAAATGTTGTGTAAAATAATTAAATATAAGTGCATATTTTTAGAGCATATTTGTACTTTTTTAAGCGCATAAGTGCATGCATATTTAGTACTTTTTAAGTGCATTAAGTTCCGAGCCCTACTAATGTATATTAGAAAGACCATATATAATGTGTATATTTATAAACCCCTTAATTTATTATGAGTTAATATGTTTATATGTACATACTTCTTTAACAGTAACTGTTTTTAAGGTGTAGGTATATCAGCTATAGTATCTATATACGAAGTTTTCCCAAAATATTATAAGGGATCTTTTTTAGACTGTTTTGACTATACAGAGTTAAATAGTTTAATAAGTTGCAATATACATTTTAAATAAATTCACGAGTGGTCTAGTACTAAGTACCTAGCTCTATGTCTACTCTTATTTTTTAGATTAGGAAAGTGGAAACAGAAATATTTTTATTTTCAAAACGTCTATTAAAAAAGCTCAAATATAATATTTATCATCATTACTTAAAAACTTTAATTGAGTTATATTAGCCTTATAATCTTACCAACTATTTGAATAATATCCTTTTTAACTGTAGGTTCTCCACCTGTAATTCGAATTTTATCGACCCCTTGTTCGGCAAATAATGATACTAAACGAACTATTTCATTATTCGAAAGTAACTTTGACTGTTCTGACAGCTTTGCACCTTTAAATGGCATACAATATTCACCTGAACAAATTTTGTTTTGGTTACATTTTTTGGTAATACAATTATTTTAATAATATTCTTAAAATTATTTATATTTATTTTCATTTTCATAACACAAAATTAATACAGATACTTATTCATTCAAACTGTTAATTTTTGTATTTAATTACTAAATATATGGATTCTAGTGTTTACTTACATCTAAGATTACAACGTTCGGTCAGCGACACTCGAAGATAATTATGTTTCCTACCAAATGTGTCCGTCAAAACTTCATTAAATGATGATTTCTAAAAAATTGTTATTCGTTTATTAGATGTTAAATAAAATGTATAATGTATTAAAATTTTTGTAAATCAAATTTAAATCTATTTATATAAGGAATATTTATTTCGAAGAAAAATTATATTATTGTGAATATATATTCTGCAGATACAATCTACTAATGTAGATAATCAAAATGTTAGTGTTTTTACGTTTAACGTTGTTTGTTGTACAAATACAACCTTTTTATGAATATCCTGACTTTTTTTTTATACTAACCCTTAAATTTGATTTATTTTTTTTTATTTATTTTTAGTTTATAAAAATATATTTAAAATTAGGTACTTGCATTTTACTTAAATTTAAACATTAAAAGATTTTTAAGATGATTCTGAGAAGTACCTATAACAAAAATATATTAATATTATTATATTAGAAAATCAATTGTTGATCAATATTATATCTAATGGGTCTCTATATTAAAAACCGTTTGCATCATGTTTACATTATAATGCTACATTAAATGTGTTTCCAAGTTATGCTAAAAACATTAACCAATACCAATCATCCAAGTTTAAAAACGAATTTATTTGTTTACATCGCAGATGTTATACTTTTTATGACTTAGTAATTTATAAGATTACTACATTTTTACTGCATTATTGTCTGTATAAATTATAAAATAAATCAATCTTATAAAACAAATTTTGTTATTTTATTTAGTTAACTTGCTATTCCTATTAATATAATATACTCTTATGAATAAAATAATCTAGTTTAAATAAATAAATTGTTAGCTTCAGATTATAATTATTTTTGAACAAATAAAAAAGGTTAGGTACAATTTTCTTGGTGGTTTATTTCATATTATAGGTAATACAAAAATAATTTGTAAACAGTTTAGTTGGTTTTGATCAATGTAGGTAACTATCTACAGTGTAGAAAAACAAGTCTGTTAAGTATGTAGGAAGGGTCGGTAGGTATAAAAACAAAAAAAAAAATAATAATGATAATAATAACAATAATAATAAACAAATAATAAGATACTATCGACCATTAAAAACGTACGTGTAACATACTCTTTATTATTATTTATTAGGCAGTACATAATTCAGTAATGTATACATGCTTTGTTGTCAATTGTCATCCTATTCTCCCAAAATAGAAATCTAGGTAATATATAAAACTATATAAGATTATAAATAATGATCCAAAATTGACCTGAACCTGAACCTATCAAATAATATATTATAAATTTTTTTTCAATGCGTTCAATTTATATAAAATAATTCTTAGTGGTTTACATTTTTAATTTAAGAATTTTTTTTCATTTCCTTTTGTGATTTTTGGATACCTATTAGATTAGTAAAAGTAATAAAACTAGAAGATTATACAGTACAAGAGTAATATCTATATAATAATCAAATTGTAATTATTATTTTTTTATTATTATTAAATACTTATGTGACCATGATAGACCATAACTTATTTTACAGTTGAAAATCTCGATTGCACTCAACTTTCTCATAGGTATACCTTGGAAACAGTTAATTAATATACCCAGTGGCTAGTACTTATTAAAATAATACCTACCTACTAACCATAACAAAACTATGACACTAATACGATTATATCTTTATGTAAATAGGCTTTGTACTCGGGCTTATAGACAAAGCTTATAACGAATTCGGGAGTCACGTTGTCTTAAGAGTGCTAAAACTTAAAAGTCAATTTTTCATCGAGTAGTATATTTTTGTAACTGATAAGAACTACGTTTATCTAAAACTCTAAAAGATATGGATTATCCGTGATCTTATGACAAAACTTAGTTAAGTAAGTACCTATATGATCTTGTATAGTTTTGTTTTTGTCATACTTATATATAGATTACATGCATATACAGAGTAGGTACCTATATGTGTGGTGGTTCAATAATTCCACTATTGCTAAAAAACAGTTAGGTACGGTGAATTGTAGTACACGTACCAAATTATTTATCGTCCGCAGTAGCCACGTGTAGGACATAAAATAACAGTTAGGTACATATGGTTATTAGTTATTACTATTGTTTGAAAAAATTTTCGCCGTTAAACATACACACATTGTAAACCTGTATGGCTGTATTGCTCAAAAGTTAAATTACACCGATTTTTTTTTCTTGTACTTACATAAATTACAATTTATAACATGCTGCCCGCTGGCTTAACATTTTAAACATTAAACGGATTTTAAACATAATACATTTACGAGTTGTAAGTACGCTTTAGGTTTTTAAGTAGATGCCCAGTAATAACATTGTATGACTATAAAAAAATAACGTATTATTATGTACCTACCTACCAATCCGAGTACTTACTTTTGTCGAAATCGATTTGACGGACCACTTGTTCTTACAAATCGTACCCAGCAACATCGTGTAGAATTTGCTGACAATATTTAGTTACTGAGAGTGCACACGTCTAGAAAAATTTAGAGAGCACGTCTACAGAGTTCAAAGTGCTGGGCAATACTGTACAACCGGTTGCTATTAAGATATTGAAATCTGGTAACTTGACATATGAACTTCGCGGTGCAGTGCTTATCGTACAAACGACTATTTACGTTTTTATTTACTTTAGAATCAATTTGTTTTTAACTAGGTTGGTACCATATTTTATTCAAAACACATACTCGTATAATTATTGTATTTACTTACGCTTATCTACACAAGTATCATATATTATACATCTAGCCGCCTGAGACCGTCAAAGACTCGGGGTACACGTAGCTGCAGTAAATAACTCATAATATAGTTTTAAATAATTGGTTGAAAAGTATAATATGATATATTATTATAGTTTGATAAATAAGAATCCATCGAATGAACAATTGTAATGTTTGGCAATGGAGTAAATTAAAATATAGGAACATAGTCATTTTTTAAATGTCAAATTATACTTTTCCATATCTTATTGGTAACACTAAAAAACTGCAGCTAGTAATGCATTTATTATATGTATTTTTAAATTACATTAGTATGACGTGCAATAGATTTTTATATATTACTAGCTGATCCCGTGCACTTCGTCGCCCGTTAAATGGATCAACTCAATACTACCTACTCAAACTTTGTTCAATTCATTAACGTGTATGGTGTATCTTTCCCGTTGCCCTGAATAAAAATTCTGAATCGCAGCAGTACATTATCAGGTAGGCAATCTACCTGCGGTAGATCGCGGACCCCGTGCTGTTTGTACGGAAGTGTGTGATTTAACTCTAAAGTATCAAAGTTATACCAAGTTTATTTTGATGTAATACTGTGGATTAATATAATAAATTTGGTTGCTCGTAAAAAATCGCAACTCTTAAAAAAATTATGATTGTTGAACTCCTTTTGGGTGTAATTTTCTGCGGTAAGTGCAACTCTGCCACCCTGGTAAGCATTGTTCAATAATTCGATTTGATGCAAGCTTGTACCTGATCTGCCCGAATAACCAATGGCAACCAATAAATAAATGCTAATTTCTAATGTAGACTGTAACCAATGGCAACTATAAATAAATAAAAATAAAATTTCCAATTTCTATCGTGAATCTCAATGTCCCTGTTTCAGCACCTATTTAAAATGCGAATTTTGGCAAATCCTTTCTTAGCGCACGTCTATATTATAATAGCTATCTGTATGCCAAATTTCAGCCAGATCCGTCCAATGGTTTGAGCTGTGCGTTGATAGCAGTCAATCAGCTTACTGTTTTTTATATACAGATATGGTTGCCATGGTAACATGGACACACAGACACACACACTGACATACATTCATTTTTATATATATAGATTAGAGATATTGAAAGTATATTATTGTTATAAATTGGTATGTAATAAATTAAAACTGTTTAACTGCATTTTCTGATTCACGAAATATTTTTGAGAGTCAAGTTGAGACCATAACCAAATTAGAACTAAAATTATTTTATTGTATTTGATGAATTTCTCTAAAATGAGAATTTTTTTATTAAATGTTGAGACTTCTTAATATTGAAGTTTCACTGTATAATGTACCTATATATAAATATATAATATGAAAGTGAATGAAGTGAATGAACTTTAGTAGATCGAAACGAAAGTGATTTTTGGGAAGTTTAGATGTCAAGACAATACTATTATTTATTACGAAGTTTTTTTATTTTTATATTTATACCTTCGGCGACATGGGTCATTGGGCTTACAGGGAGAAAATTAGAAATTACATACATTGTATACTAAATCTAAGTTACAGTAAATTTTTTTTTGAAGATTGGTGACTGTGATGAATTGGATAATGTTGGCTATGGATTTAGGGCGATTACTTAGTATTTCGGATAGTGATTCGGGAAGGTTGTGGCTTGTTCGGGTGTTGTGGTATGTTCGGCATTCAGTGAGAATGTGGCTGAGGGTGACTTGGACACCGCAGGATGTGCACATTGGGGGTTCTTCCTTGACCATTAGGAAACTGTAGGAGATTTTCGTGTATGAAGTATTTTACAAACACGCATCTGGTCCAAAGTTCACTTATATTATTTGATATCCAATTTTTACTATATAATCGACGGTTTGAAGGCTAGCTGTCGTAACCAACATAATCCACAAAAACATATTTTTACAGGAGACACTCAAACATAATAATAACATAATCGTTTTTAATCTAATACAATTAGTAATAATTTTTTTATTCTGTGATAATTGATGATTTAATAATCTTTAATAATTGAGCTGTAAATAATTATTATTAAAATCGACAAAATTATCTTTATTTATGACCTAGTTGTGGGTTACACTATGTGACCACTTACTAATTATGACGGCATTTTTAATTATTGTGATATGTATAACTATTTGTTACTATATTTATTTTGTCATATTAATATTATCATACAATTATAATATTTTCAAACTATTTTGTTTACTATTTAATAGCATTTCCATCGGTTTAAAATATAATATGAACCCATTATGGACTACAGGCGGACACTGATATCACATCACACTAGTACCTGACAGCAATGGTGTATCTTGTATGATATGAATTAGAAAATGTTATAAACAGTGACGTCATTTGGGGGGTTGCAGGGTGTACATTTGCACCAACTTTTTTTTAAAAAGCCTTCTTTGGCCTGCCAACAATAAATATAAGCCCGATAAGCTCCCCCCCGTTATTTGCACCACCAATTAGACACTTTCGACTGTAAAGTCAAATGGATACGAAAGTATTTAAATTAAGCTTTCCCTTTCGTTATGAACTTTTTATGTGGAAACGTTTTAAAATGTTATATAAACTGCAGAACGATTCGTATGATGGAAATTACAAGAAAAAGAATATTTTTATCCTAACATTTCAATGCGACTTGAATATTTGAATGCATTTGAGCATCATAGAGACCTTTTATCAAGTATATTAAGGTCTATGATGGTTTACGACTTTAAAAATTGAGGAAGAATGAAGAAATAATTATTATATGATAAAAATCGAATTTTGAGGCACTATAGGTTCAAACACAAAGTAAGCATATTATTATACAATGTATAATACATATAGTTATTATAAACGTAGGTATAGGTATAATATAATATTTTGAACAAAGTCATGGTTACGAAAATGTTTTTTTATGCTAACCAACAATAGTATATTATATAGTTGCTACTAAATACCAAGTAATCTTCCAACTGAATATATATTTTTTTAACAACGAATGTTCAAATAACTTCGCTTTAGAATAGGTACACATGTAGGTATTCTATGTATTCCGTTGTAAACCGTGTACCTATCCATATTATAGGTACATGCAATATAGGTATATTCTGTATAGTTCGAAAAATTGTTTTTTACACTTTATGATAGACTATTATAGTACTTCATGTTATCCGCACTATCAAAAGCCAACTAATTAATAAGTATCTGAGCTCAAATTTTAAAGTCATGATGCAAATAAATTATAATACCAATGTTCACTCAATTGTAGCAGCTTATATACATACGAATATAAGATAAGAAATATATATAATAGGTATATATATTATATTATATATCTATAGACTATATATTCGTCAAAATATACATATTTATTATCAAAATAACAAAATACTTGACTCTGTAAAATTTTTTATTTGTTTATTCAATATTTAAATTATTAATATTTATTATTTACCTTATATCTACTATAATTCTCATATATAGGTAGGTCGTGGGTGTATACCTCGTACCTATAGTACCTACGGGCTACGATCTACCAGGTGTCCATGTACCTGTATAATACAGAATAATTAGGTATGTTTTTTTTATGTGTATCGTCACACGAGATTAATATAACAAATAGAACGATAGAACGAATTAGAAACATTTATTTCATTTTTGATTTTGACTATTCTATCAATTCTTTTTGATAAAATCATCAAGTGGCGTAGATTTTTTTGGGTCTTTCATCACTTTTCGGGTGTCAGTAAAAATGCTTTGATTTTCCACTTCAGCATCTTTTCTGGTAAGAAAGTGAATCTAGTTGGTACTTTGGGGAGTCAAAAGTAAATTCACAGTAATTTTTAATCAGGGAAAACAAATACTAAATTTTAAAAAAACTAAATTTTTTACACAAAACCAGTTTTTAAAAAAATTGAATTATTTTTTTGTAACTCTAAAAAAATAACCATAGATACATGAAATTGTGACCGAATTTTTTTTTTAGTACCAAAACATTTTCAAATTATAGTCGAAAAAAAGTTTTCGCTCTGTCAAAAAACTTGATAATGTAATACAAGGTTCCTTATAAGTTGTTGTTGGGGGAAATTAAAAAAAAAGCTAGCGAAAATTCACTATAACTTTATATGAGCTTCTGAAGTTAGACAAAATTCATCAAAATCACGAAAATTTGAAAATTATTTTGAGAATAATGTTTTATGTGTATTTAAAAAAATTTTAAAATTTAATTCAAGATTCCCCATAAGTTTTCTTACATTCAACAGCAAAAAGATTCAACTGGAAATTAAATAATTTTTTATGTGCATTTGAAGTTAGACATGGATATTCATCTGCAAATTAATGGTACTCAAAATTTCGCAATTTCTATATAATGAAAAAATTTAAAATATTTTGACTTGTTTTGAGTTATTTATAGACATTTGTCAATTTTAATTTTTTTAGATTTTTGTTTTATAAATGTCAATAAAATGTTTTCGTTGGGTCGAAATGCTTGAAAATGTAATACATGGTTCCTGATAATTTTTTATTCCCTATAGCAGTTGAGAAATATTAAATATCCATAGGCCGGATTGTTTATAAGTATTTAAAGTCAACTATTAAAATCTCGAAAATTTTTAAAATATTTTGTAGTTAATAATTATAATATAATGTTCAATTTGTATAGATTAGGATTGAAAATTTAAAACAAGTATTCTCATAAACAGTTT